CATTGTAATTTCTGCTATCTGCCCTACACCATTAAAGTTAGGAAGTTGAAACTTAAGTTATTTGTATACCCATCATCAGGGTGGTGCATGGGCATTTTGGAATTTTAGTGCCACAGGGGGTTGGGTTGTCCCCGGGGGTGGTTGATTCTAAATTCTTATAACACTGAAATTTCTGCTATCTCCTCCTAGACCATTAAAGATGGGAAACTGAAATTTTGGGAATTGGTAGACCCATCATCAGGGATGTGCATGGGCGCTGTGGAATTTCAGTACTGCAGGGTGTTGGGCTGTCCCCGGGGGGGGGGGGTTGATTCTAAATTCTTATGACATTGTAATTTCTGCTATCTCCTCCTAGACCATTAAAGTTAGGAAACTGAAACTTTTGGAACTGGTAGACCCATCATCAGGGATGTGCATGGGCACTTTACTAAATCTAGATATTAATACCTTCAAATACAAAAATTAAAAATAAATTGTAATTTTAAAAATTCACAACATTTGCAGTCACCTTGCTCTCTGAGCAATTTTATTTTCCAAGCCTTTACGCTAGACTGAAATTCATTTTAAACTAGAGACAAATTTTGCCTTAATTTGAAAATGTTTAGGATTTATTTGCCTCACGTACGACTAAGATTGGTGTAAGAATGTTCTATTTATGATTGGATTACCTCCCGCACGAAAACGCAGTAGATACTTTAGCGCAGTAGACTACTGCAATCATACTGCAAACTTTCCTCAAATCTGCTTCGATTTGGGAGCTAATTAGCATATTTGAAACATGCTTCTATCATGCTGCTAATCTACTGTATTAATGCTCCTCTCTGTACAAACCCATGTACTTTTTGGAGTAGAATTGCAGTAGGCTAGGCTATACTGCATTTCTACTGCAAATATGCTACACACCACTACTGCGCGTTAATGCGTCTTTGCTACTTCGATACTACTGCATTTTCGTGCGGGCTATGCAGTTATACGGCGCACTATATAGCAGCATTGTTGTAAAATAAAAAACACACACTTGCACTAATTGGAATCAAATGAGTAAAAGGATGGGGAGTTATTGAGAGTAAGTTAAATTTTGTTTTCCTGGTAGGTAGAGATAGAACATGGTTAATGTCTCAATTTGCAAGTTTAAGACTCGTTTAAAACACATGCAAACTAAGGATGGATATGGTCCAAGCATGGGCAATTCAAATAATATTAAAAACATTTTTAGTTCAAAACAAATCTTTTTGAAATCACTTAATAAGGAAATGCTGAATGGTGGTTTGCAACATGAGAATCGAAAATTCCTTATAATCACGCAAAGACATTGGAAAGAAACAAGTTAATGCAAGGTCAGCACGGAGAAATAGCGTTTAAATACTTGTGAATTTGTATGAAAAAGAACGTCGGTGAATAAACATTCCATAGCTCCAGACCGTTGATATTAGTCACTATAACAGAATGTTAAAGAGGGGTTCATTATTTACTAAAATGATGTCGGCCTTTTGTAGACAACCTACTGGCAGTACTCCAAAGAGCAGATGCATGTACTTTGGACGCCGACTGGTTGAGACGCAATTAATCCATATCACACTCCGATGGCCGTCTTATCGAAAAAAAAAAGACTTGGATATTCTGCCATACGAGAGGTTAAGAGATTTAGATAAAATTGTGAGAGGCCTATGTACAGTTGGTTGTCTTTAAGGATGCATGTTTGTTTATAGAATTTAAACATGTATAAGTTTGCGAAACTGCGACCTTTCATGTATTAGTGCCTGCAAAAACAGCTGTTTAAACAAACAACTGAACAGAAACGGGTTATTTCCAATGGTTTTTTATAGCTTGCATAACTCAATACGTGACACAGGGCAAAAGGTTAAATAATGCATTGTTATGCTTGATTAAATATTTCAAACGGTCTCAGTTAAACAAGCAGCATATAGTTTCATATACAACTTGTTTTCATTAAAGTTCTTGAACCCATCACGTGATGTTTTACTTAGCTTGCTGGACCGAGCGTCTTATATTAAGGATTGGAAGGTAAATGATTTCACCAGCATTTTCTGTGGATGAGGTGGTCTATTTCAGGCCAGGGACAGTGTCAGAATCTACATATATTTCAAGAGTATACAGTTTTGTGATAAGGCGACTTGTTGTGCTTTACTTTGTCTTCAGTTTTACTGGTCGCACTATTCCATCGTTGCCATAGCTCAAATGTGAAACTAGTCCCAAAATCTAACAAAAGTCTAGGTTTTATATTTTCATGAATAAGTACTATATCTACAACATAATAGTGTTTTGTCTTACTCCAGTTGGTTTTTTTCCTTATAAAAAGTAAATAATAGCCTACAGGTAAAGCAGATTCCCGCTTGCCTGCAGTGTGAAAACAATACAATACTCTATAAAGGATGAGAACTGGTAGCCATGGGCAAAGTGATTATCGTCCAATTTTTAAAGAGTTTGTTGGTATAAAGGTTTGTTGCGTGAAAAATTATTTGGTTTGAGGCATTTTTAAAGAGTTAATTTTTTTTTTTTNAAGTCCTGTAGGGGCAATCACAATGTACATCTGCTATTATGATAATTAATATAACTTTGAATATCTAAAGTACATTTTACATTTAATCTTTCTTAATCCTAAGAAATAAGAATAGAAATAAGATATACTTACTTTATTTTGACTCTATTTCTTATCCATATTTTCCTTTATTTATAGCATGCATTACAGATACATGAAAATTAATTTTCTTTTTTTGGTTGCAACTGAAAATATTTTACTAACTCTAAGCCATGTTTTCATTTCAAAGGCCTAAATTTTTGGGTTAAGTCAAGTTACTGTCACCAGTTGCTCGATACGAAAATAACTCAGAAATAAATGGTTATATAGCAAAGAGCGGGACAATGATTTCGTTCCAACTGGCTTGGTAATTTGCATGACGACAGGGCAGGAAACGAATAATAGTGAAAAAAGAGAGGGTATCATAGCCACTAACCCTGCACCCCCCACCCCCATCCCCACTCACAGGTTACTCACATTTGGCTTTTTATTTACTTTCCTTTGCTGATACTGCATCAAAGTCCAGACAGGAAATAAGGAGGAGGGTATTTTAACCCCGCCCCTCCCCCTCAAAGGTTACTCACATTTTTGGCACGAGTAGCCAGAGTAGTCAGGTAAGTTTCAGCTGCTGCAAATATAAATCGCATCTCATCATTTCGATAATTTATACCACCTTGAACGCTGGCAGTACTCCTGATTTTATAGTCCAGACCTGTCTCGTGCGTGTTTATATGGGAAAAGGGTTACCAGTTTGAGCGAAGGCCGTACGTGGTGATTGCAAATATGCCCTTGGATTTGACCCGTTTGTCCACATTTTAATGTCAAATGGGTCAAAATGTTAATTTAAGTTTAATTTCCTGCACAAAAAATTGATTTTACCGATTTTCAGACACTACTTGGATTGAGAAATCTAGAATTGTTAGGAATTCAGACTTAAGGGAAGAGTCCTTGGTAGATTTTGATACCTTAAATAGCAGTGACTCCGTCGACAGCAAAGATGAAGTAACTCTGTGTAATGAACCTTTCACATATACATATGACGAATGTCCTAAACTTATATAATTTTGTACGCTTAATTCACGCGTGGGCTCGAAATAGGACATCACGTTTTAGACTAACTTAGAGGATAACGCAATCCAAAGATTCCACGGTTCGTGTCAGATTTACGTAAGGTCGCGCAAAGAAAACCCAAGTCCACATAATGACCAGTTAAACGATTTATTCGTTGACGCTCGGAAGTTATATATTTTAAGTGAAGTCTCCAACTCTTAACACTTCAGCTCCGTACTGCGTCGCTTCCAATCTCATTCTCCGCTGCTTCCTTCTACGTCCCTATCCCACCTACGTGCCCTCCCCTCCTTCTATCTCAAGGTGTTGCTTATATACTTATTCCTTGTACTGGTATATGATTTTTTGAGTGTAAAACAAAAACTTGTGTGATTCCTGGTTCAGTTGATGAATTTGAACTTTTAAAAAAGGCAATTATTTTACAATTTAATTTGTAGTTATATAAAGTAAATAGGTGAAAGCCTTTAAGTAAGCAAGCCCTTTTGTGTCTTGTGCAACTACACTCACACGTGATGCAGGTTTTATGTACATCATGCATCCCAGGAAATGTATCATATCTCAAAAACTAAATAAAAGGTCTATCTGAAATTTCCTGACACTGTTTAAAACATGCATAGGATAAATTAAAGAAAATTTCAACAAATTATTTGGTAAAATGAAAAGTAAATGTACATGCTGAAAAAGAAATTATGTTGTTTATGTCTCTCCGAGAAAAGCAAGTCTCTTATTTCAACTCCTGCCTTTTTCTACCTAAATAACATATTGCGACCAAAACTGATGTAACCTTTAAGCGTACATACTTGAGTCTCTAAAGATGTACAGTTTTTAGGTGTTTTCTAGACAAATAAATACATCATTACTGATAAATTCAGACCACCTTGAGTTTATCCAGGTAGATGATGGCTGAAGACTACATGTATCAGGGACACTTTCAAGGTCAGAGGTTGTCAGGTTCTATGCGCTTAATGTTGTAGACTTACTGCCGGAAAAACCTGGCACTGGAGATGCAATGAATGGAATAAAATTGCACCATTCTCACAACCCCGATAGTTAAAGGCATGGCAGGACATAACCTATATTTCGAAATCGATTTTGTTCACTTGTTTTTGAGGTAACTATATATATAAATATGTGCGTCTTGTTGAATAAAGTGACTAGCATCTTTTTTTTTTTGTGGAGATTTCCCATTTACTTTTTGAGGGAATGTCAAAATTCTCTGCCAGTTTCAAAGGTCGACCATCCAGCAGCACCCGAATGAGTTTTGGAGGCAGTCAATGTTTACCTATAAATGATGCATTTTGTGACGGACATATTGTTTTCAATTATTTCATGACGGTGTAATTTTATTGTAATTATTTTGTCTTTTTCTAGGGTTCAAATTTAAGGGGACATAATGGCCGTTCCGTTCACGGACAGCGAAACGGAGGAGTCAGACAACGATTTACAGACCAAGAGACTAAAATATAGTGAATTCATAACTTTAATCACTTGTTTTGCCCACGCCGCTGAAGAAGCCTCAAAGAACCTGAATGATCTTGCAGATAAAATTGACGAGCATTTTCGAAAATGTAACAGAGGTACAGTGAAACAAGCTTGAATATATATTTTCTTCTGCATCATTTTCATTATGTTACCTAGAAGGATGTGCCTTTTAAAAATAAACACGGCCTCAAAAATGTCATCAGTTTTGAAAATTTAAACCCAAACCCAATATAAAAGTTGAAGTGAGGCTATAGGCGTGCTCTTAAAATATTTAGTGCACAGACTGCAAACTAAGTCTGATTATCTTAGGCTCCCACATGAAGAAGTTTGTATCGAAGTTTCACACTTCTGGAACCATGAATAATAAAAACAATTTATGATCTAGCTCCCCAAAAAGGAACGTACGTTAACGTAACTATCACAAATGCAAAACGTTCAGCTGTGAAACTTTTCACTCACTTTGAAAATTCAGTCATTACTGGTTTTGTTCTTTGATTTATCTCCTACAAGTAAAACGTTGTAAAAAAATTATGACAGTTGTCTGTATAAGGCAAGGGCGACTTTAGGGTGCTTGTCACTGAATATTAAAAAAAGGAGAAATACACTCTTCCGACAGTAAAATAAGCATTAAATGTACTTTTTTTTCCACTCTTCATCCAATCATTATATCAGATATGTCAAACTATCATGGAATTACAATATATTTTTTGATCAGCAACAGAAAACAATTTTTCTGGGGAACAAACACCACTTAGTATTAGCCATGACGCAAAGCCCCTTGAGTTACAATTTAAATAATTATAAAAACATTCTTACTTCATGTATAATGTACCATGACGGAATAACTACATTGGAACACGGTAAAAAATTGAAATTAAATCACCCGGGACAAAGGTTACCGGAACATAAAGTTAAACATTAAATTAAAATTGATACAGTTGTGGATAATTTTCTACACACATATATGGTTTAAAAATTGAACACCATTTTGAATTCATTCAATTTTAATTTTGAACATTTCAGCATGTGGAATGCACCTGTATACTTGGTGTTGGTGTTTACCTTGTTCTTCCTGCAAACGTACAGCATTGATGAGTGCTAGATGCATACTTCCGTAGGAGCATTATCAATAAAAATGCGTGAAAACACGCTTTAACGGAATCCTTTTTCCTCCTACTGTTGTTTGACATACTTTTAAGGAACACTTTCTCACAACTCCCTGACTGCGCCATTTTGTAGTTTTCATTTACTCTTCTTGAATTTTATTCTACCACTTATGAAATTAAAATGATATTCCATCGAACATTTTTCCCTTAAATTTCAGGAAAAATTGCCGGGTCTGCAGCTTCCCTGGTGGGGTTCCCGCTTATTGCTGTAGGCTTTGGTTTGTCATTTGTGACATTTGGAGCGTCGCTTGGTCTCTCCATTGCCGGTGCAGTACTCAGTGGCGCAGGAGGTATCACGGCGGCCGGTTCGGGTTTAGCTGAGCATTTCATCACCAAAGCCAAGTGCAAAACGGCACAGGAGGCAATTGATGCCGTTCGCGAGAAAGCCAGAGAAATAAAAGAGGGCTGTGAAAAAGTAGAAAATATGGCTCCAACTCCCTGTTCTGCCACCTTCAACGCCAGTTCGTTGACAGAAAACGTAGCCAGTTCTGTCGGAATTCCAGCCATTAAACCTGCAGGGGCCGTTACAGACGACGCCGCCGAAACTGTGTTTAAAGGTCTGGAGACAGGGCTTCGAGTTCTGCACATAGGAGGAATTGTAGTGAGTTCGTTGCTGGTACCCTATGATATTTACACCTTAGCGACGTCCTCCGTCAAGGAGCATCGCAAGACCGGGTCTCCACAGGCCAACAAGATCCGAGAACTAGCCAAAGAAATGCATTGCTTGGCCCAGGATACAAGGTCGGATCTGGTTGAAATAGATCAGATCTAATCCATGATCTTATTAGGCAGTGTCCATTAGATTTGTTGCCTTGCTCATATTTACTTTCATTTAGCCTTTTGAATTTATTGTAATCTTTAGGGTCATAATACATTTTCATTTATGTTCCTTGTGTGTTTTACAATCTCTAAAATATCACTTGCACCCCGTTGATAATATGGCCCTTTGTACTTGGTGTATGATTTAGAACATGCATGATCTAATTTTTTAAATTTTATTTGATTTTGCAGAATCTGACGAACTTGTGCATCACATTTACATTGATTACATTTACATCTGATTTGATAAATGAATCAATTTTTTTCCATATTTTGTGGAGGTTTGATTACCTAGACGAGAAGTTGGGCTTTATGAAGTTAATTGGTTGTGCTCATCATGATAATGATAATATCTGATTATATCATAAAATAATATGGATTATATGTTCCATCAAATGCCATTAGATTTTGGTAAATGTGTTATTCAAGCTTTATGTTATGCATGGAGTGTTACTAAGTTAGTTGTAATTACTGTATTATCACTGCGGCGTTTAAAAATTCCTGTTAACCATTATCATGTGGCCTTATGTCCCACACGGGACGAAGAGCACTGATGAACCATTATCATGAGGTATAATCGAGTCTGACGAGTTATTCTCAAAATAACAAGGAATAGAATTTGTTCTGATCTTACTAAAAGTACAGTAACACATTGTCCTATTTGCGCATACATTGAAAATAAATGCATGAAACAGATTTATGTCAGGTATATTTTTACTTCACTAAGATAATATGACGAGTTTATGATTAAACGATTTGCGAATTTTATGTTATACGGTATTTGCTTTGCTTAAGAAAGAAAAATCAGAAAGGAGTGCATGTTGTAAAGTTTTAGAATTTCGGGAAGAATTATTTTAAAGAAAGGGTGTATGCAGTTATAAAGTTAATGATTTACGTTTACACTAATTACAATTAGTAATATAGGGAAATCAAATAGTTGAAAAGTTAAAGTGGTATTGAGTGTAAGTTAATTTTCATCAAGAGTCAGCAAGTGTAGAACATATTTTTAGTGTTAGAAAAAGATGGAGAAGGCAAAATCAGTAACAGTTTACGTGATTGGTTAATTTCATAATGGATTTTAGTGTCGATCAATTGTTTATCACATGATAACTGAGTTTTGCATATAATTCAAGTATGAGTAATTCAAAGATTATTTTTGATAATTTTAGTTGAAAACAAGGCTCTGCCATTGCGTAATCAGGGAATGTTATATGGTAAAGTCAACATGAGAATGGAAAATTCCTTGTAATCACGCAAGAACAATGGGAAGAAAACAAGTAAACGCATGATCAGCACTGAGAAATAGATTATAAATACTTGTGAAATGTACGAAAAGAGAGTCGGCAAATAAACGTTCGAAAGCTCCAGATCGCCGTCGTTATTCTTCACTATAACACACACTTTGTATATGCAAGAGATAACTACGGGCTTGATCATGAAAACACACTTGTTCACAGTTCCCGTCTGGTTTGGCAGAAACTTTCCATATTAAGTTCGTCTTGAAAGGGACTTGTTGCAGAGACTAAACGGTGCATCAAAGGAGCAAACATCAGTGAGCCCTGATACTTCTTATACTTCCTTCGTCATACTTCTCTTCTGTAGGAATGGAAAAAACAAATTACCTTTGGTGAAAAAAATGTCGCGCCACTTACATGATATAAAAAATGCAGTACTCGGCAAACACGCACGCTTTTAGACATGTGACCTACGCTTATATATAATTAGAAATGTAACCTTAAGGGGCATATTCAGAGAAATGCACCGCTAGGCCAAAGAAGAGATGCCGTTGATGAAACAGATTCATAAAATTCAGGCATATTATGGTTGAACTTGATCAGCGAGGAAACGGGACTTTAACCCGAACTCCAACACCTTTGCATTTAATTTACAATTGTTGAAATGAAAAAATGCGAACATTGATAGAAGGACGTCAAGCTGATTTCGCAGGATTACGAACTGCTGATAGGCCTAAGTAATGACTTTTTTAGAAAAAAAAATAAGCGATTTCACCGATTATCCAATAACATGTATTATTTTCTTTGAAAACATGAGCGTGCCAAACTAATAACTAATATAGTGCCAAATTAATAACTGTTTCCTTTAAAACAAATTAAGTGAATATTTATCCTTGGGCAGTGGCAATTTTTAAAGCCACAATAATGTTTAGCGTATCGAGTTGTATTACTCATTTCACATGCAGTCTTAATGAAATATATTGCTTCAGTTCGGAGGTTGCAATTTTCTTAATTAAAATCTTGAATGCAGTTGTTCCTTTTTCCATCGTTCTCAAATACATAAAATACTTAAAACCAAGACCCTGAAAACACCCATGGTTTATATATTCGATATACATAAGAGGCACCTCCGAAGAAAACATAAAACAATAAATATATACAATCAGAAGGAAAAGGGAAGAAAACAGCAATTCCAAATCTATTTACTGTTTACATCATGAATTCATCCCATAGACAATGACAGCTGCTAGAGCAAGTGCAGAGATATGTGCAAAAAGTGGTTCGTTTTGGCAAAACAGTTCGTTCTTGAACTACTATTTGGGTATTGTTATAAGTTTTTCGGACATGTCCCTATAACATTAACCTTTACTGTTGGTGTTGAGTCAGCTAAAATGTATTTCACAATCCACCTACGTCATTTGGAAAAGCTTTACGCCGTGCTCCGGGAAGCCCCGTACTGCACACAAGGTTGCCCCCGTCCCACTACCCAGTTAAAATAAAAGTCGCGCTCTATCTATATAAAGTCATCACTTCAGTCTCTACAATGATAACCCAAAATGTGTCTCATCTGTCGCAATGACCAACACAAGTGCTCTCCGTTATGAATACCATCGTGAATTCCCCTTGCCACTCTCAGCAATTAGCCAATAGTATCCAGACCCTGTTGTCTCTATAATGATAACCCAATTAAAATATGTCTTTTCTGTCGCAATGACCAACACCACTGCTCTCCTTTATGAATTCCAGCGTGCATTACTCTTGTCACTCTCAGCAATTAGCCAACAGTATCCAGACTATATTGGGATGTTGCAAATATATCATTATTAATGATTTTATGACGACGGCACAGATGCAGCCATACATCAGGGTTAAGTGCATGTACAGTACGTGTGTAAATTAATATCAAACAAGAATCATTTAAAGATTTTATTGGCTTATGGTAGCCCACCTGATCAGAACTATTCTATTACCTCCGCCAAGGTTATGTTTTCACCCCTGTTTGTTTGCTTGTCTGTTTGTCCGTCTGTCATCAACATAACTCGAACAGTTATGGACCGATTTTTATGAAATTTTCAGGAACTGTCAGAAGTGGGCCAAAGAGGAGATGATTATTTTTTGGTGGTGATCCGGATCAATTATCAATCAATAATAAATAATTAAAAATGTCGAAAATTTAGGGATGAAACGGCATTGGATGGAGACTTTGCTGCCTTGACTGAGGTCTGCGCTCTCTGAGTGCTTTTCTAGTTAGTATACGTATGTACACAAAATTAAAATAAAACGTGATAGAAACTTACTTATAAAATTTGCATAGGAATAAACAGGGGCAGATCCAGGGTTATTTGAAGGGCGCCGGAGGGGGTTAACATAGGTGATATCAGAGGGGAATTAATCATAATAATACAATGAAATTTTAAAAAATAAATAAATAAATAAATAAATAAATAAATAAATAAATAAATAAGCTACTGGCAATATATGAAATACAAATACTAAGTTACATAAAGAAAAATAGAGTGAAATTCTTTGCGATTAATTGTCACATTCATTCCTGACTTAACGGCAAGCAAGTAAGTTTGACAGTTACAAGTATTAACTACACCACTACCAACGGCTATACATAAATATATTGAAATATCGAATCAATAATAATGATTTTTTTGTTATCATTATCCACTATTTTCCAAGAGAATAAGGCGATTGTGCTGTTTCATGTTCAAACAGATGTATTTTGATCGTGGACTAATTATGAACTGAATCATTTATACACTAGAGACAAATGTACTGCATATATTTTAATAAATTTAATTTCATTTATATCACTACTGAGGTTTTATGTTTTTATTACATATGCTGTTATACATTAAGTAGAAGGATGCCAAGATGGGTTCAGTGATGCGAGATGCTGTCGGCTTGTTGCAGATAACCTAGGGCGAAACAACATTCACTGCATATTTAAGAGAAAAGTCCATACACGGAAGGGGGGCGTCTCGATAGTCCGAAGGTTCATTGGTCCGAAGGTTCATTGGTCCGAAAAACGGTAACATTTTTATCGGTTTTTTAATTAAGGGTTCATTGGTCCGAAGGTTCTGTAGTGAAAATTCGGACCAATGAACCTTCGGACTATTGCTACGGCCCCCACGGAAGACACAATAAGTGTGATAAAGTTGTGCTAGTGCAACTACCTTCGTTCACATCTTTAAATAATAACTCCGGGTGTTGAAGCAATATGTAACACAGGTGCAAAAATCCCCATTCTATTTTAAGAATCAATTATCAAATTTTCCCGTGGTGTTTCGGTTTCAATCTCTGATCGACCGACGAGGTAGGGCTAAGTAAGAGCTGTTGCAAAAATACCATATCATCATTTATAGTTCGTGATAGATAAAAGAAGAAAGTGTAATCAAGAGATAGAGGATTGTGCCGTTTCAGGTAAAAGACTGATGTCTTCTGCTGTTCCACAAATCGTATTCATTTTCAGTTTTTGTGACGCCTATACTGAATATGTTGGGACAAAATGCTTTGTTGTGTAAGGGGATTGTCATACTAAGCCCCACAGCGATGTTTTAGCTTTTGGGGATTAAACATAGAATATTGGATGTGTTAATTCGTATTATATTTAGCCAACTACCAGTTTACTACTCAGAACTACTCAGAAATGTCTAAAACTGAAAACACCTTATGGGTCTATTCTCTATCAACTGATTGGTTTTGCCATAGTCATGTTCCTATAAGTTTGATATGTTGTCAACCATATAAGAACGTGATTAATTTGCTTTGATTATTTTACCAGTATATTTGGTCCTCGAATAAAGCCGGCTGTGTACAATGGGTTATTTTTTGCAACAAAACGCGATGCATTAAATTTGGCTCACTGGTGGTTTTGCCACATTTCATATCTACGCGTATTTAGTGAAGGCAGGGTGTGGACATATTATTTAATGATAATTTAATGACAGTGGTAATTTTATTTAAATTATTTTTTTACTTTTTTTGGGGTTAAAATTAAAGAGCCAACATGGCCCATCCGGTCACTAGTGCATTTGGACCAATTAACACAAAAAGGGAAATGGAGGAGTCAGAAAAAGAGTTAATTGTTTTGGCAAGACACGCTGAATCACCAAATTCTAATACTGCACACATTGAAATAAAGTGACCTGCAAGTTCGCCCACATCATCTAAAAATGACCTAAAACTTCATACTGAAAATACTGTGAATGTCTAGCTCCCTGCTCCAAGTGTCAAAGGGGTGACAGTACTCTGTATGTTTACAGCAGTCACTTTAGCTCACTACACTGTGGGATCCACTCACTGTAACTCGGTGTTTGTCTCATCTAATGCAATGACAAGCACTGGGGCTTTTTGCTGAAAATTCCCCATTCTATTAAAAGAAATGATGAAAAATCCCTGTATCGAGTTAGTTTCAAACATTGACCGACGAGAGTATAGACAGGTAAGATTGAGCTGCTTCTAATATAAATTTCTATTTATTTCGATTATTTCATAAGGTTTGCACAGTAATGATGAGACAAAATGTTTGCCTAAATTTGAATACGTTAATAATTTCTTTGTATCATGACTAAGATTGGTTCAAGCATGTTATAATTATGATTGGATTACATATGCAGTTATACGACACAGCATAGCAGACTACAATGCCAAAGAAGGGTTCAGTATTTGCAAAGATGATGTTGACCTTTTTTGTATATCACATGTATCGGCAACATTATCTTTTAAGTATGCGTGTAACATAAATAAACTTCTTACTTGGAAGACAGTTTACTCAACCTGAAAAGCAATGGTTGTGATCTTGTGATCAAGTCATTGGACCAGGGTGTCAGGAATGGTAGGCAGTTAGGAACCATAGCCCGTTCCCCATAACTTCGTACAGGTGACATTTGTCCCACATACCGGGTACCTAACCTCAGTATACTCCGAATAACCCTAACTTGAACTTATCATATGGAACCAACTTGTGCTTATCATATGGCACCCCTGAGTCTATTCCTACGGTCTACCATTCATGTCACTCCGGTATCACTATCCCTATGTACTGTCCCCTATTGTTTGTAACTATTCAGGCATCTGTCATAACAGAAACCCGATTTTAGTTCTTTGTTTACTACCGGCTTTTGAAAGACAAGAATTAGATCATGAAAAAGCGATTTATTTTGATCCTTGAAGTCAAGATGGCGTCGAGAAGTCAACACAGGAGTCTTGGGTTGAAAAAAATTCTAGAATTGTTAGAAAATTCAGACTTGGGGGCAGAGTCCTTGATAGATTTTGACACGTCATGTAGCAGTGACTCTTTAGGTAAATCATGCATCCAAGGAAATTTAATATAGCTCAAAAACTAAATATCTTTCTGAAATTCTCTGACATTGTTTAAAATATATTTAGGACAATTTTGAGAAAATCTCAACAAATTATTTGACAAATTGTACATATGCTGAAAATGATATTTTGTTGTTCACTTCTCTTGGAGAAAAGCAAGTCTCATCTTCAAAATCCTGCTTTTTCGACCCAAATTAAGAAAATGTGACTAAAACTGATATGGCCTTAAAGCTTACAAACTTGGCTTTCTAAAAATGTGCAGTTTTTAGGTGATGAACACATCATCACTGATTAAATGAGGTCACTTGTAAAATTGAGTGCCTCCAGGTAGATGGCTAAGGACCAGTGGCACTTTCAAGGTCAGGTGCTGTCAGGCTCTACGGAGTTAAACCTATAGACCTACTGCAGGGAAAACCTGGTTTATAAAACTGGAGACGCAATGAATGAAATGAATTTATACTATTCTCAACCCTTAGGGTCAAAGGCATGGCAGGACCTGTATTTAGAAATTGATATTGTTCACCTGTTTGTGGGGTTACTATATATAAAACTCTGGAGCCAGCTGTGTCTTGTTGACTACAATGACTAACATTGTTTTTTACCGTGGGGATTCCCCATCTACTTTTAGGGTTTATAAAAATTCCCTACGACTTGCCAGTTTCGAAAGTCGACCATCCATTAGTAACCGAGTGAATTTGGGAGGCAGTAAATGTTTAACCATCAATGAAGCATTTTGTGAGGGCATATCATTTTCAATTATTTCATGACGGTGTAATTTTATTATAATTATTTTTACTTTTTGGAGGGTTCATACTTAAAGAGACAGCATGGCCCATCCTGTCACGTGTGAACCTGGACCACTCAGCACAGAAAGGGAAATGGAGGAGTCAGAAAACAAGTTAAAGGGCAAGAGACTAAAATGTAGTGAATTACTGACATTAATGATGTGTTTGGCCCAAGCCGCCGAAGAAGCCTCCAAGAACCTGCATGATCTTGCGGATGAAATTGACGAGCATTTTCGAAAATGTGTCCGAGGTACAGTGTAACAACCTTGAATAAATGTTTTTGTCTACATCAATTTACATTATGTTACTTAGAGGGGTCTGCCTTGTAAATTATACACAGCCTCAAAAATTTTCTCAATTTTAACAATTTAACGTATTTTTCATTTCAAACGTAGAGCATTGATTTGACCTACGTGCATACTTCTATAACAGCATTATCGCTGAAAATGCGAAAAACACGCTTGAACTAAACTCTGAACCCCTTTTCCTCTTGATGTTGTGTGCCAAACCTTTAAACAACACTTTGTCACAACTCCTGGGCTGCGCCATTTTGTAGTTTTTATTGTATTTTTTTTTTTTAAATTTTATCCACCACTAAAGAAATTAAAATATATTCTCTTGAGCTATTTTCTAAATCTCAGGAAAAATTGCCGGGTCTGCAGCTTCCCTGGCGGGGTTCCCACTTATTGCCATAGGTTTTGGTTTGTCATTCGTGACATTTGGAGCGTCGCTTGGTCTCTCCATCGCCGGGGCAGCACTGAGTGGCGCAGGAGGTATCACAGCCGCCGGTTCGGGTTTAGCTGAGCATTTCATCACCAAAGCCAAGTGCAAAACGGCGCAGGAGGCAGTTGATGCGGTTCTTGAGAAAGCCAGAGAAATACAAGAGAGGTGTGAAGAAATAGAAAATATGGCTCCGACTCCCGGTGCCTGTTCTGCCGTTTTCAATGCCGGTGCGTTGACAAAGAACGTAGCGAGTTCCGTCGGGATTTCAGTCTTCAATGGCCTCAAACTTGCAGGGGGCGTTGCAGACGACGCCGCTGCAACAGTGTTTAAAGGTTTGGGGACAGGGCTTCGAGTCCTGCACATAGGAGGATTTGTGGTGAGCGCGTTGTTTGTTCCGGTGGATGTTTACACCTTAGCATCTTCCTCTATCAAGGAACATCGCAAGGCTGGGTCTGAAGAGGCCAATGAGATCAGAGATCTTGCCAGAGAAATGCATCGTTTGGCCCAGGAGACAAGGTCGGGACAGGTTGAAATAGATCAGATCTAATCCATATTTGCGTATGCAAGAGTTAACTACACGATTGATCATGACAACTCATTTGTTCACAGTTCTCTTCTTGACATACGTAGGCTTTTAAACATATAACCTTTAAAGAGCACATTTATGCTAATTGGGTATATATATATCTAGTGACATTTGACGATGTCTTTTCCGTTTGATTGGCATTTTTAGCTTTACAAAAATCACTATAGAACATTAGATTTTAGTGGCTACATATTCTTCCATGCAAATATCTGCACTTCTTTTCAGTTATTTTCTGTACCATAAGCCATGTTAAATGTAGTGTATCTGGGATAAAGGTTATGTGATAATCTATAAAAAAGGTAAAACCGGAGGTCTCTTAGCTTACTTATCGGGTGTGTTTGTATTTAATGGGAGCGTCACTTAACGTTCTTTAAAATGAATAAAAAGGCATTTCTGGTCATTTGCAGTCATTTTACTACTCCATAGATTATCAAGAGCGTGGGTATCACCGTACTAAGTAGTACTGATTGGAATAAAACCAAAACTCTTAAAGGGATAAAAAGAAATGTTCGGAGGAAGCTTTTGTTAAAAAGTTCACGTGCCTAACCGTTAATAACCTTAATTCAATGGATATCTAGTACTCTTCTGGCATTATTAATTAACCTGCCAAGTTACAAATAAAAAATGCAGGTCAATATGTATTCTCTTTCATTGCCTCCTCTTAAAGAAAACTCTAATAGCCTTCTGTTAAAAAAAAAAAAAAGAAAGAAAGAAAAAAAAAACAAGGTACCGCCTTTGTATTATGAACATTGACAGAAATGTGATCCATATTGCACCTTCCTTGCCCTCCAGCCCATGGACTTGCTATATCTCAGCCCCTCGTTTTCTGTGCCATGCAGGTAATTTCCATTAGAAAACATTAAACCAACCTGGATGACATGACTTATCCTCTTTTTTGCTCTTTTTTCTTCTGCATTCGACATCACTGTAAAATAATAGGCCCCGGTTTCATAAAAATTTAAGTGAAGTTCCCTGGCTCAGTTGGCTAGGATTTCTATGAGAGTGCTGTTACACTGCTCCTGATAGAGTAAGATGTGACCATGTGATTAATTGGTAACTAATTTCTTAGCCAGGGAACCCACATTTTTATTTTTTCTTTTTGTAAAACCGGGGCCAGGCCGTTCCTGACACCTTTGTGGGAAGATACGGAGAACTGGTTTCGCCGGCTTAGCCTTTTTTTCAGTAATAACCGGTCATCACTCAACTGAATACATAGCGTATACCAGAACTGGGCGAACTTTGAAATAACTTAATGCTCTTCACTTGGCTTTATTCCTTGTTCGAGTACTTTCTAGATAAGACCACGACATGCACATTTTGAACAGGATTTTTTTCTCCATTTACCCGAGTTCAACTTGATTTTGGCATGTACCCAAGTGTTATTAAAGACAGCTGGGTTTGCGACAAAGAAAAAAAAAAACTAAAACAAGTGCAGGAAAAAATCAAGACCTTTGATTTTGCTTTATTTTCCATATTTTCTTCAAAACATTCACCAGAAAATTTCAAAGTACACCCCATTCCACCATAACCACGTCATTCCCTCCAAGTACCCTGTTATCAAGGGACGGTATAGTTAATGTTAACAAATAAAACCAATAAAGGTAATTGCAAGCCTCTGTGGTATCTGTACATGTATACATGTACAGATACATTCCTGGGTTATTGTACTCTGTTGCTTAACCGGTGTAACAGGAATGGTAGTCCGCAAGTGCGTGTCATATTACTTCGTACGGGTGACGTTCGTCCCATATACATACGTATCAACCCCAATACTACCAGGCACGTAGACAGGGGGAGGGGGTTGTCGGGAAAAGGTCTCCTATGGGTAAAATTTTATTTAAGTATACGAAGGTTTCATGCTAACAGGTCCACTTTTTTAGAAAAAGAACTTCCCTTTTGAAATAGCTGGCCACGGGCCTGACTACGAATGACCCTAACACTTATCATAAATAGGACACCGGACTTCCATTCCTAGGACTTCCATTCCCGTCACACTTGCGAACTGCACTTGAGGAAAAAAAACTTGGACAAATAAAATGCTTACTTCGCCCAAGACATAAATTTAGAAGTTGATTGTAGTTGAGAATCATCATTAGATTCCGAACTTGAGCTTTGATCTCATTTAACACAACATATACACTTGCATTCTCTTTTAAAATTAACAAAAACTTAAAGCAATAATACAATATTAAAAAAATAATATCCCCTAATTTTGCTTTTTGATTACACTGCGTATTAGTTGTGGAACTGTAGAAATCGTAACGCGTATTCGATCTCTCCAATTTAAGTCTCCCAGATTAAGTTTATATGTAACATATAATAATAACGCCCCCTTCCCTAAAATGAAATAAAAAAGTAAAATTTAAATAAATGTAAATAAAGCAGTAAATTACAATTGCTTACAACCAGTCTTATGCGACATCTAGCCCAAACACAGGGCTGTTTTTACCACTCACACATAACTTGAACTCATTTTAAGGTCGACACAAACACTGCATATCTAGGCCATACAGGTAAGCCTATTATCTCTATGTGCTGCTCTCCCACTACTTATATATATAAAACTTACTAAACCATTTTGTCTTTTGTCACAGAGGATACTATTGAAAATGGACAAAAGCTAGCATTATTCTGAAGACCAAAATTATAAGGCATGATAGATCCGTTACAAATTCATAGCTTGACAGTACATGTAAATGGGTTAACGTTGCCGTGCACAATTCATAAAAAAAAAAATATATATATATATATAAATATATATATATATATATATATTGATGTTTCAGAGCAATAGTCACCTTAGACTGATGAGCTCTACATATCAATATGAATTGTAAATCGTGAAGTAATAAAAAAAAAATCCAATTTTAAGTGAAGACCAAACTTCAGGCGTAGTTTTTTCAAAGCTAGACGTGTGCAAGACACCATATTTTCTTAAAAAAAAAATAAATAATAATAAAAACTGTCCTCCTTCTTGGGAATATTGGAGTGCACAGTTGCTGTGCAAAGAAACTATTTATATTAATGTATACAGGTACGCACTAAGCTGATGAAACTGGATTATTTTTTTCAGAAAACAACATTACAGAGGACTATCACATATTTCGTGTTGATCTTGCCAAAGATATCTACAAGCAACACCATACCTTACTTGCAAGGAGCTCAAAGTTTAAAGCTTGTACATGTATACTACAGCATAAACCTGTAAGAATTTGATTTTTAAATAAAAATAATTTCTATGAAACAGAAATCATATTCGGGTTTGAATATCATCATCATCAACAGCCATACTTAACATGCATATATATGTACTAGAACAAGGGGGCTTGTGTAACCTTACATAACATTGAAATTTTGTATGGAAATACATCCATATCAGCTGGAATTAAAGTATGTGCACAAAGATAATGGCTAATAGGCATTTAATAAGTACTGAAAAAAAAAGAGATATGTCTGCCTAAAAATGGAATGTAATAAACATACTTGGATCATGGATTTAATAGCCATTATCTGATCTGCAGTAACAGTGCAAAAAGAAAAAAAAAACTTGTTAGACTGATAAGAGACAGCTGAAAAGAGCATGCATTTTTCATTGGTACCTTCAAGTACACAGTGCACAGAAGTACACATCACAACCACAAAGTTTAAGTGAGCAAAGCTAATAGCACTTACATGTACAGAAGACCATTATCTATTCTGAATTAAAGAGTATCTGAGGATAAGTCTATAATCCATACGTTGAGATCCCTTGCCACATTATCACATCATATAAAATGCAATAATGTCACACCGCAAAACACCATGCTGCGACATGTTTCACATTCTTTTTGATCATAACATGTTACAGTTTGTTCGTACCAAATGGCATGTAATCTTGTCACAGTTTCTATTAAATGGCATTTGACAAAAAAAAAAAAAAAAAAAAAAAAAAAAAAAAAAAAAAAAAAAAAAATGCCCCTCATATCTCTCTCTCTCTCTCTCTCTCTCTCTCTCTCTCTCTCTCTCTCTCTCTATATATATATATATATATAATGCACTATAATGTCACAGCTCCTGTTGTTTGACATCACAGGACTTCATGTGTCTCTCATATCTTGACATGTCACAGATGCTATCATATAACACAGTGTGTTAACACAACTGCCCCTTGTTTAACAAGTGTGAAATCCCATAGCCCCATAATCACATGACGCACTGTGATGTCACAGCTCCAGTGACATGACATGCTGTGACATCACACACTTGTGCCTCATATCACATGATTCGATACTTTCGATCCGCTTTGATGCTCCCCTTTGGCTAGATTGTCCTCAATCTGTCTTTGGTTCTTTTCCTCCTTCATTTTCACGAGAGCATATGCCAGTGCTCCGGTCATCACCATTATATTGCTCACCCACCACAACCAGGGTTTACTCTCCTGATAGATAGTCACTGCCATAATTGTCTGTACCACAGACTTAGCATTATTGCTCACATGGTGAGTCACTGGGGAGGTGTAGTGAATCTGCAAGGCGCTGGCCCACGCAATGAGAAAGCCCAAAATACCCGATACAACCATGGCCATCCAGAAGTACACATCGCTGGCTTTGTCCGACAGCCAGAAGGCTTCTAATTCCCCACTTGCTATCACTAATGGGGTGAACAACATGGCCGCGTTGAAGTTGTTGTAGAACGTCACTCTGGCCGAATCCTTGTCGACAATATCCAGTGCTTTTTTGATGGTGATGCCAACCAGAGCCACGAAGACACTCGTGGTCACGCCGTACATCACACCGCGGACCGACAACGTCCCCGCAACTTTTTCTTGATCTACGCCTAAAATGAATCCTCCAACCACGACAAGGCAGCAGCAAATTGCCTTCCAGGAAGAGTACTTCTTAAGAATAATTGCCGAAAACATAACTGTGAATATCAAAGTCATAGAACGTGCTATTTGGAAGAAAGCCACGCCTACATGCTTTAGGCACAAGTTATTGAAAGACAGCATGCCGACAAAAAGTCCCGATAACACGACCATATTCCGCGATAATCCTATACTGGGACTGTAGCTGATTGGATGGATGTCAGGATAGCACATTTTCCCAGCCCGTGTGTAGAACAGTACGAATACGACACTGATGATGCACTGAAAGAAGGCTACAAAGAGAGACAAATCCAGGGAGGAGAACCGACTCCCCACCAGATACTTGTTGGCAAACACCATTGATATGGACATCGTCCAGTAGTTCATGACCACTAGGAATATCTTTAAATAGGAGGCTCTCTCCTGTTTTTCCATCTCGTCTCTATGAGCACCTCTATTCCAAAATAAATTATTTCAGTTATTAACTGTTACTCCAGGTGATGATCTGGATGCAATCTCGTATGATGGTGGTCGATAAGTTATATGTATTTATATATGTATACAGCAACTTCCTAGAGTGAATATCTACATGAATAAATGTTCATGGATGTGGGTCTTTAACAGTTAATGTGCACTGGTGACATTATGCAGAATCTTCTCTGGTTGACAGCAATGCTGGCACTGGCATCCACGTTGACATGGCCAGATTTAATGACTAAATAAATTAACTGCTCTCTGCCTGGTCTCGTTTCCGTGGGTTTTTTTCCTGTAGTTTTGCTTTTCTTTAGTTGTCTAGCACAAAAGAAATGATCATAGTAAAGGTTGTGTGATTCACTTCAATGGAGAAACTTCCTTATCCCCCATTGTGTGTGCCAGTCAGCATCATCTGGAAAATATTACCAAATTCTAATTAATTTTTGATTTTAAAATAGAATTAAAATTCTACATTATATTTTAAATTTATCATTATATCATGTTTCTATATGACATAGCAGCAGCCATTTGTTAAGAAATGCAGAAATTCTAGAGCTGACTTATTTATTGATGAAGAATATATAGTGAATACCTGAACCAGCATTTTCAATAATACCGATCTTGTATGAATTGTATTGAAGCATTATTATCTATGCATGGTATCAGCTGTGCATTTATATATATACAGTAATATAACAGAATCTGAAACTATATAAGGTGCATTCTCTGCACAGGCTCCTACTAGTACTCAGACTGAGACCAAACAAAATGAGACACTGACCCCATTCCCACCGATTTTAGATCGATCTATCCCCATGGGGAGTCTCAATAGATTACTGTCAGCTTAGTCAGCTTAAATGTCTGTCCTGCCTACAAAAAGCTGTAAGGGGGTAATTAACTATAGTGTGCCCTCGGCTAACAGCAATTTAGCGTGAACACCCAGGGAGTTAGGTTGATCCATATGGATCAATCTAAATCTGTGGGAATGCAGTCATTGACTGCGTTCCCAAAAACTCATTGTACCAGCTAGATCAATCTAACTCTGTGGGGCTTCTCGCTAAGTGCTTTCAGTGTAATCAGCTTAATAGTCTGGAATACCTCCTTAACACTAGTGGGCTGAATATGGTCTTAAAGTGCAATTTAAGATAACTACTAGTAGTGATCCACGATCTTAATCATTACAGCAGTAGTCTTAAAATGGACTGAATCTGCTTTTAAGTTCAAAAATGACCTAACATCTACATAAGTGGTCAAGCAGTTTCCTCCCCTCTCAATGGGGGGGACACCTCCCCTCACAATAGAGGACACCTCTGCTCACAATAGGAGAATGTGTAAGGGGAGACAACTTAATTGGCTGTTAGACTAGAATTGGTCTTACTCATGGTTTAAGATCATGTACTAGTAAGACAATCTGTGATCTTAAATTGCACTTTAAGATCAAATCAAGCCCACTAGTGTAAGTAACTAGGGGGGGGGCAAATAACTATCATTACCTCCTAGCAGCTTGAGTTGGCATGCCACGTCATATTAAAGTTGCTCAAAATGAATGCAATTTTGTGAAAATCCCCTCAGAGTCAGATCGATCCAGCTAGTGCGATGAGTTTATGGGAACGCTCCCACTGAGGTTGCAAGGTCAATAGTTTTGAAATGTGCAACTAACTGAATTCTCCCTACAGCACATCACTTGATGTTAGAAAAAGCTTGCGAGGATCATTAAGGACTTTTTTTAACTTTCCCAGCTAGATACAGAGAGCTATATGACTAGTCTGGGGAGCAAGATCAAAGGTTGTTCAATTATAAAAAATATACTGTTTATTTCAAATCCATTCATTAAAAAGGTATACTACTATACTGTATGTATTAAAAAATTTCCCTAGGTCATATTTTGCTTTTACTAGTATGTCAATATATATCCTGTAAAACTTTATATTTTCCAATTGAGGTCTAAAAGCTATAAAACCCTGTCATATAAAAGCACTGGCATTGATAGTTCTAGCAGGAAATGTACCGGAAAAAATATTTAAACCACCAAATTAAAGCACAGGGACAGGTCAAGCAAAAACTTGGGAAGAAGATGAAAATGCCCCCCCCCCCCCCTCCTCCTCCCTCCGCAGAGGAAAACTAATTTTGGCAGGTAAATCTCGTGAACAGTACTTTTTTTTCTTTAGCAGGAAAATCTTAATCTTTGCATCTGTTAGTACTGTACAGAGCATTACATACTAGGCTTTTAATGATTAAATTAAAATGCTTCTCATATGCTTCTCCATTCCCTCTACAACTAGTAGTTGGGAACTTCAAACAATCAGTTGCTAATGCAAAGCAATGATCACAAACACTTAAATCAAATTTCAATTTTGTTGATGGAGATGAACTTGCAATATTAACCTTTCAATACTCTTCTTATTCTTTTCTCTTCCCTTTCCTTGTGAAAGTACTAGTACAGGCAAAGAGAAGGAATTCTGACCCACAAGACTTACAGAGCCATATGAGAAAAAAATGATACAATGAACTGTACAAAAGGATACACAGAAGCACCAGACAGCCTAACGCTAGATCAATGGAGAACAAAGCGATAAAGGTAGACAGGGAGGGAGGGTGATACCCCAATACAAAAATATGGATTGACCTGTTAAGACTTGTTTTTTTGATTTATAGACATAAGACTAGAAATTGTCTCCAGTCTGAGACACATGGTGCTGGAGGCTACATGTAAAACTTAGCAGGTGATGGGTTTATCTAGGTCATTACCTACTGAAAGGCCTTAGGGTGAGACCCCACTATATAAATATATATTTTTAAAATAATTTTTGTTTGCTAAAATGTAACATTCCAGCATTTGATTTATACACATATTTGATTCGAATCTTACTGGATGACTAAAAACATTCTTTCATCCCATCAAATGATTGCTTACATGGTACAAAACAACACTGAACTGGGCTATACCCAGTAACAGAACATCAGCTTATCTAGGCAACACAGTTGACACATTTTTTTATCGATTAAATAGTTTTTTTTTAATTTAAATATATAAATCCACAATTAAAAGACAATGTAAAATAATCATGAGACACTTTTTAAGTCGGTGTCTGTAAATCTCCTTTGGTACCCAGTTCGGGAAAGCCGACTATATTGACACCGGCATAAGGGCATTCCAACTTCTATGCAACAACAGGTACACCGTAAATTGTGACACCATTTCACGAAAAGTCAACACATAATACTAACAAATAGTCTACCATTCAGTTACAGAAAGCCGTGTACGTGACTTACCGTTGTATCATATCAGTCTGTCCATATAGTAAAGCTCTCATCACTAAAAGCCTTTGATATTTAGCACTAAATAATTAAATATTAAGCTGTAAATAATTCTACCCCACCTGCTGCGTGTCCAGCGCTGACATCTAGTGGCAGTTGTGCCAACACAGTCTTTGGGACACGATAACTCGGTCATTTACGCTTAAAAACCGTGGAGAGGCAGCCTGATCCAGTGAATGATGTCTAAAGATATCGTTTAAGAATTTTTTCGGTATTCAGCATCTGAATGAACAAAGTGAAGTGTAATTAATTTGTGATTCTTGTGCTTGAAACTCAATCGGCAATCCTCGGCTCATTCCGCAAGCTCCATACTGACCTCTACCTCGGATGTGATAGGCGGAGAAATATGCATCAAATCAATGCATTTTGTCCGCCGGAAATGCCTTCTCACTCAATCAATTATTCTGCTCATAAAGATGTCTGTCAATACCCCTGTTTTTTATGATGCTTTACAGTTTGCCAAACAATGCACTTAGTTTGACTTTGATTTAAAGGATAAACAGATACAAACGTTGAAAGGATTGTGGTCTAAATTAGCGCGAGGTTGAAAGTAGTTCCTTCCCAACAAATCAACAATCAATATGGATGCCTCCCGAGGTCAATGTCGAGTGCGGAGACATCCGAGTAGTTCCGAGTGCTAAAGCACCTCTCTGCTCTTAAGGAGGAGAAGGCTGGAAAGTGGTGCTAGTCTAACAGGAAGGAAAATGTGTGCACAGGTTTACCGGTTGCAAGTTGGTTAAATATCGCTTTCTTTACACAGATGAAGCATAGAATATGGTACGTGATTATTCAGGCGTCTGGAATTTTATTAGCTGTAACTTTAACTTAGCACAGCTGCAAAGGAGCTGTGGATGATGCAGATGTCTAGTAATAACGTCAATAAATTAGAGGACAGAAAGACTTTGAAAGAATGTGTGCGATTGTGAGTGTTAGGCTGTGTGTGTGTGTGTGTGTGTGTGTGTGTGTGTGTGTGCGTGTGTATTTGCCCGTAAACTTTTTTCCACCCTTATACTCCCTATACTTAGCTACGGCTGTGAAATATGGGCCCCTTTAATCCTTAAGTCTAGCATGAATAACCTCCTGGAAAGGTGTGACAGACCACCGGCTGAAGAAGTCCACATTAAAGCCTGTAAAACAATACTGGGGGTCCACAGGAAGGCATCTAATCTAGCAGCCAGAGGCGAATTAGGAAGCTATCCAGTGTTAATTCATATGCTTGCCCTGGCAACAAAATACTGGTTTCANTTTGGTTAGAAATAATATCTGAAGGGCAGTTATTTTTTTAATTAAAAAGAAAAGAAATGTAAGTTATATAGAAAAATTATGTTTTATAGCATGGTATCAGACTTCTTCTACCCCAACATGGGTGGTGTGGAAAGCCACATCTATCAGTTGTCACAGTGTTTGTTGGAGAGAGGACATAAGGTGATTATAGTGACACATGCATATGGGGACAGGAAGGGGATAAGGTACCTGACAAATGGTCTGAAGGTAAAATCTCTCTCTCTCTCTCTCTCTCTCTCTCTCTCTCTCAACAATAAGATTAAATTGAATTCAAAATAAAACGTGGACCTTTAAAGTTGCTTGCAGAAAATGTGATAAAAATGTTTTTGAATTTTAATAGTAAAATTGAAGTTGTGTTATGTTCTCTGTGATCCTCCTATCAAAGGCTCATTTGCCATGAAATGACACAACTGGAGCCAATATTCTAATTTAGTTTAATATACCTTTATTCATTTGAAATGATCTGAACTTGTAATTATCATGTGTGCACATTCATGTCTTTTTTTTTTTAAATTTAATTTTGCATATTATGCACTATAAATATATTTATTTTTAGGTGTATTACATCCCTATAGCTCCTTTTTATAACCAGTGTGCTGTTCCAACCCTCCTAACAACACTGCCTCTCATCCGTAATATTTGTGTGAGGGAGGAAATAACAATCATTCATGGACATTCTGTTAGTACTTGTTGATTTTTTTTTTCTCTTTTAATCTCGAAGTACAAGGAGGAAATAATTCATGAACACTATTCAAGTATATATATTTTTTAAAGCTTGAGGCATAACATTAGTGTAAGGGAAGAAATGTTAATTTCTGAGCTCTACCTAAGGAAATAATGACAAAGAAGTGTGTAAAAAGAGTAAAAAAATAATAAATCATTTACCAAATGCTCAAGATCATTTTTACCAAATAAAGAAAATTCACATAGAATATAGTCTGTCAATGCTTATTAAGTGAACTAGTGGCAATGATAATAAGCTGAAGCAAGAGATTTTTGTTGATTCCATTCATTCATTTATTTTTATTATTCCTTCCTTCCTTCCTTCCTTCCTTTATTTATTTATTTATTTATTTATTTATTTATTTATTTATTTATTTATTTATTTATTTATTTATTATTTGACAGGCTTTCTCCACCTTGGCCCATGAAGCCATGTTCCATGCTCAGGCTTTGGACATACGGGCAGTCTTCACTGACCACTCCCTGTTTGGGTTTGCTGACGCCAGTTCCATCCTTACCAATAAACTCCTGATGATCTCCCTGTCAGGCGTGAACCATGCAATCTGTGTCTCACATACAAGGTAAGATCTCTATTAGTTAATTAATTAATTAATTGGTTGATTGATTGATTGATTAATTATTTGTTGTTATTAGTTGGTTGGTCAATATATTTATCTATTTGATTGATCAGTTGGTTAATTGTCTTTAAAATGTTTGCTGCTTTATTAATTTGTTCATTTATTGATTTTAAAATTCCTGATTTCTTTGTGATGTTGAATAATTTCATTCGCTATTATTTGCAGTTTAATTCTTACCTGCTTTCTCCGAATTTGTCATTGATTCTGTGATTCCAGATATTATAACTGTTAAAATAAAAGAAACATATATATATCTATTTCAGTAAAGAGAACACAGTATTAAGGGCCTCTATTCATCCAGAACTAGTGTCTGTGATACCCAATGCTGTGGATGCCACTGCCTTCACTCCTGCTCCAGAGAATAGGAAAAAGGGTAGAGGTGGGTTGATTGTGTTTAAGTGCCATGTAACATTGCCATGTTTGCACTTGCCTGTCCAGTTTCACTAAATATCTCAAGAAAAACCAAGAGGGTTCTCTCTCTCTCTCTCTCTCTCTCAACTTAAAGAACTGCATGTAAGTGGCTGTGTATTTGTAACAGTGAATTATATAGCAGTCTCTTCTGTATCAATTAATTAGAGATATGCACCTGTCAGGAGAAATTTTACCAAATGCTGTTCAACCATCCTGTATTTTGTTTTCCAAATTGAATGAAAAAAGTTATCAGTATAAGTGTATGTATTTACAATCATTATATTTATGTTCGTAAAAGATAAACTGCTTCCTAAAAGACTGAACACATTTTCATTACCTACCTGCGTATATAGTATCTTTGATAAAGGGTTGAAAAAAAATTTTTTTTCTTTAGAATGAAAACAAAAACTACTTCACTGTGATATTTATGATATTTTCAGTCACTGTAGTGGTGATGAGCAGACTGGTGTACAGAAAGGGCACAGATCTCCTTGCTGGCATTATACCTGACATTTGCAGCAAATATGACAATGTGGACTTTTTAATAGGTATGTTTTTGTCTCTCTTTTACATAAAACAGCTTTGTCATCATTTGTTTTGTATCAGGTAATCAATAATGCTGTAATAATATTAAGTCTGTTAGTCAAGTCAACAAACTGACCATTCAGACTTTTGGACCTGAAAATATTTCCTTTTTTTTACAATATCAGTTACATTTTGCATCTCTCTCTTATATGAAATGGCTTTGTCATCATTTGGTTTGTATCAGGTAATCATTATTACTATAATAATATTATTTCTGTAATTCAAACATTCAAGTTCTTTAACTGGTCACCCAGACCAGAAGACCTGAAATTGTTTCCTTTTTTCACGACATTTTTAATCACATTTTTCATCCAGGTGGGGATGGTCCAAAGAGGATTGTGTTAGAGGAGATCAGGGAACAATTCCAGCTGCATGACAGAGTGACACTCCTGGGTGCCATAGAGCATAATAAAGTCAGAGAGGTTAGTTACTGATTACTAGGTACAAAAACAACAGTGGTTTTTAAAAAGGTTTTGCCATACTCCTGTTTAATAGTGGCAAAAAAGTAAAGCATTTGTGCTACACTGTCATATGATCCCAAAATAAATCTTAGTATCCTTTCAGTGCTAAGAAAGTCTTGAATAGTCACTCAATCACAGTAATTCGAGGAATATAAATAAGATTATAACTTCAAATGCTGAAATATATATTTCATCTTATTTATTTATTTATTTGTTTGTTTGTTTGTTTGTTTGTTTATTTGTCTCTTTGTTTGTTTCTATGTTTATTTACTAATATTTTTAATTTGTTCAACTCAGGTATTGGTACAGGGGGATATCTTCCTGAATACCTCACTCACAGAAGCTTTCTGTATTGCCATAGTGGAGGCTGCTTGTTGTGGGTAAGTTAGTAACATACACTACACTACTATCATCATAGAATCCCTTTGCAGCTGTCACACAGTGGTTTTAAGAATTGCCAGTCAGTTTCGCTGTAAAGGAATAACCCTGCAGTTAATGTATTCTTTAAGACCAGTTGTAAATTATATTAATCATTATTTAAATGCAGCATGCTAGTCATATGTACCAAGGTTGGCAGTTTGACTTTCTGCCTTCTTTTGTATTAGTTGGTTATATATTGATATATATTTTGTGTAATTTATATTTCTTATTGAAGCATGCTAGTCATCAGCACTAAGGTTGGAGGCATACCAGAAGTCTTACCCAATGATCTCATCCAGTTAGCAGAACCCAGTGTTAAAAGTAGGCAGTTTGACTTTCTGCCTTCTTTTGTATTAGTTGGTTATATAATGTACTGCAAATTAAGGGAATCAGTCAAAGTTATATGGATATTATGCACCAGAGATAAAGTCTTGTGATAACAGTATGCTTGATGATATGACGCATCAAAGTGTAGTGTTTCAGCTAAATTTTTGATTATCGATTAATAACACTGCTACTTGTATATGAATTGAAGCCCGACTTAGTATTTCGGATAAGTTTTACTAACAAGTTTAATTGAATTGCTCCAATTTGAAACTTTTAGTTACAAGGGAGAAAAATAGAAGAAAGAAACAAGTATTTTAACATAAAGTATTGTCATAATTTTCATTGAAATTATTCATCGCAGGTCTTACCAAAGAACTAGAGGCAGCTATTGAAATCTGTAAAATGGGTAGGTCAGATGCCCAATCTCATGAAAGACACGAGAGAGTGAAACGGCTTTACACGTGGCAAGACGTGGCCAGGAGGACTGAAACAGTTTATAACATGGTGTGTGAGGAACCACCAAGGCCTTTACCTGACAAAATCATGAGGTGAGTTGCCTTTGCCAGCCTGAGGGTTTACACACACACACACACACACACACACACACATAAGAATTGTGGTGTTTTGCGAGTGTGACATTGTGAAAGGTGTTTTTTCCTGAAAGTATGTTTTGATCTGGTAATATACAATGAAGGTGACTTTTTCAGACATGAACATAACTTGTAATATAATACAAAAAAGATGCCTTCTTTTGCAGCAATGCTAGGTTTTGTAAGTATTTGATTAAGTATCTGCCCTTTGGAGCTAGTTTGCGCCATATTGATAACTTTTGTTTACTGGAAAGGTGGCTCTCCAGCATTGTTTTGTTTACTGGAGAGCTAGCTGTTCAGTGAACAACAGAAATCAACATGGCAGCATCCAGCAGCAAAAGGCATATTACTTGAAAATAGCACAATGATAAGCATTGAAATTTTGCACAAGCTTACATACCTACTAGTGGTTTGGGTAAATGTCATAAAAATTCATTGTATTACCCTCACAGCGACCAATTATTATTATTATTATTATTATTATTATTATTATTATTATTTCAGATATCAGCACTGTGGGCCCATTGCAGGGAAAATCTTCATATTGTTTGCAGCTCTTAACTATCTTCTTTTGTTTTTGTTAGAATGGTGGTTGCCAGCAAAGGTAAATGAAGTACCGTCACAAGAAACTTAATCAATTAATTGATTAATTAATTAATTTATTTATTTATTTATTTATTGGGAGTTCTGTACAAGGCAAAATACAGCTAAATATAATACTTACAAGTATTTTGATGTCAAATCAAATCTTTGAAATGTACGTAAGACATAATTAAAATCATTTATTTATATATGATTCATAATTCCTTAAGTTAAATTTTCAAAGTTCGAAATTTATTTTTAACCAGTTATTCTACAAACATGGTTTGTAAATTGATGACATTTTCTTATCTCTTGGAAGTACACACATACTGAAATTCTTTCAAGGTAACCAACATAGTGAGAAACAATTTCAATTCCAGCAGAGAGAGATAGGAAAGATTCTTTTTATCTGAAATAATATTTTTTATCTTCAGGATATGGACAAGGTACCAGATTGGCCACAGTCAAAGAATAAACTTTCATTTTCGAAAAATAAAAACTCTGGCACAGAGACTAATAGAAAAGAATGCCAGGAACTGGGCAGGTAGCAGGGTTTTGGTGATTGATGTTTCATGATGTTTTAAAATAAGTTTAAATAATCTTTAAAACAACACCAGTCCGTAAGAATGAAGTAAGTTGTCTGCATTCTTATAACATAACACAGCTGATGAAATTCTCTTTCAACACTGGCCCATGTACTTACAGCATGCAAAATGTAAAGTATGAAAAAGGGATAAAACAATAAAAAATAAAAATGAAATTGAGTTTTACACCTTGGCTTTATTTTGATGTATCTGTTTCTGTGTAAATAAATGGAATATATGATGAAATGTCACTGGCTTGTTTTATGCTCATGCATAATCAATCAGTGAAAAATGGAGTGCAGCCAAGAAAACTTGCATCATAAGCCAAATCCAGGAACTCGTTCTTGTCAATACCGCCATTTTGGTTCACATCAATTTTGTCAAAGGACAAGCCAAGGTCTGCTGTGGGCACTTGGAAAACATCGAAAAAATTCGCCAGTTCCTGCTCGTCCCATCTCTCGTTATTATTGGTGTCAAAAATGTGGAATATAGCCCGTATGAAAATTCTGTGTTGCCTTTGTCTTCTGGGTGTGCGGTGACCTTCTCGATTCCACAGCTCCATGTTCACTGACTCGGCATAGTCATTTTTGTCATTGCTCAAGAAATCCAGCCAGGCTTCCTGCATGACATCATCAAGTTCACTCTGTCTGGCGGTGTTTACGTAGGATTTTGCTCTCTGGATTACCAAGTCGACGTACTCTCTTCTTTCCAGTATGTTGTCTTTATTAACGTCAAGGTATTGGACAAAATGGTGTGTGTGGCCCTAGAACAAAAATCAAGCATATGTCCCAAGGAACAGACTTTTTAAAGAATGGCTAATGAACTTGAACGTTGCAATGCATGTGCTAAATTAAACTGCGCTTAAGATAACAGCATTAAACCTGACAACAGCTTCATCGAAAAACAACCCGGATGTCTTTCATACAAATAATGTAGATCTTTTGTCTGGTGCCTGCACAGAGAGTGTTCGACATAACCAAACCTATGTTTTGCAAAATAAACCTCCCAACACAAAATAAGCTTTTTGTCCCTCTATTTGAATGTGATAATGCACAAATGTGTTTCCTATTTTGCAAACTTGTAGAAATAAATGCCCCTATAATTTTCATCTGTATTCTAATGTTTTCTAGTAAGCATTTTTATGTACAGATGTTGCCGTCGCCGTGCACTTTCAGCGTTAAAACCATAAGTGGAAGACAGTTTTTCTTTTTGGCTTTATATTTACAGAATATTCATAAAACACAGGTCAAGTTGGAAAATCAGCATGATCAGGCTATTATTGTAGAAGTTATGCTGTTTTTTCATTTTTCAGCATTTATGCAACACTGTTAACACATTTCAAAGAAAATCGATAGGCCTGTTGTCATGAAACTCACAGGAGTAATCAATCTTACTAAAACGTAGGTCAAGTTCAAATCAGCATAATCGGGCCATTATTTAAAAAGTTATGCTGTTTTTTACACATTTCCTCAGATTCAATTCTTAGGCATGTTAACAGTCTCATTATTTAACTAATAAGATACGTAAAAGTGTTTATTTGACATTTCCTGCGTCTTTACAACATTGTTAGTTGATTATGTAAAAATGATGGTAAACTTGTTATCATGTATTGTGTAATAAAGTTTCAAAAATGGAAATAAACTCATATCATTGCAGTTTGTCAGATTCAATCATTCATTATGTTCAGAATCTCAGAATGAAGGAAATTAGACATTTAACACTGTTCTGTTGATATTTTTCCCATCTCATCAATTTTCTTAGCTGATCATATTAAAATGGCAGTAAACTGTTGACTTTGTTTTATGTTAAAAAATTGTTAAAAACAAAAAAAAAAAAAAACATTTCAGAACAGTGCTGTCTTGTTTACATTTTGGCATTTTCAAGGTGTGACTTTGAAGTTCCATGGGCCTGAAGACCTTTGCTAGTCACATTTTCTGAATATCCATGATACTAATATTTTATTATCAAAAATTGATGGTCATTAGGCTGTTTAACATTATGTAATATTACATCAAAATTTGAAGAAACCCCTATTTTGGGCACTGCTCCCATGATGACCATTTAAGGAAAATCATGTCACTTACTGTTCTCAAACTTACAGGAAAGAAACATGGGACTAAAATACAGTTTCAGTAGGCACTGCAGTCTGTTTGGTAATTCTTTCTGGCAGTTAAACAGTTTTTATGTGAAAATTTAATTTTGCACATATTGACATTTTCAAGGTGTGACTTTGAAGTTCCATGGTCCTGAAGACCTTTGCTAGTGACATTTTCTGAAAATCCATGATACTAAAATTTTATTATGAAAAATTGATGGTCATTATGCTGTTAAGCATTATGTAATATTGCATCAAAATAGAAGAAAACACAATTTTGGGTGCTGCTGCCATGATGACCATTATGGGAAACCATGTTTCTTATGATTGTCAAACTTTAAAAAAAGAAACAGGACTAAAATGCAGCCTGAGTTGGAAAGGAGTCTTATTGGCTTCTTTTCTGGCAGTTATATATTTTAGTGAAATATTCATTTTTTATCGTGTTGGCATATTCATTGTGGGACTCAGAGCTCCCATGGACATGAAGCTGAATGGCGATCAAATTTTCTACATGTCCATGCTATTTATAGTCAATAATCAAAAATTGGTGATAATTATTCTGTAATTTATTATGTAATGTTACACCAAAATTGACAAAAATCTTTTTGCACTGCTACTTCAAACATTATGAAAAGAAAACTGTGTTACTTATTATTATTTTTAACTTACAAGTACGCGTAGAAGAGTTAGCATACTGCAGTATCACCGTATGATTTTTAGGATTGGCATGCAGTTCAAATGAGAAAGCCAGCTCAATTGGGTTATCATTTATTATTGAATTTATGCGATTTTGTGTGAAATTTTCAGTTTTCTCATTCTAGCATTTTCAAAGTGTGAACTTGAACTCCCATGGGCCTGAAGCCTTATGCTTGTTACACATTCTAATTACATTGATATTACCTGTTGAGCATAATTGAAATTTGATGTTGAATTTGCAGTTAAGCATAATTTACTTTTGCATCAGAATTGACCGTAGCCTATTTTGTGCATTGTTATTTCCTGCTTTTTGTCTGTACATTTGACAGCTTTGCTGCCTTGTTTGTTGTTGATGTTGTTGTCGTATTACCGGGAAAAAACTTATATTGCCAGGGGCGGGATCCAGGATTATTTGAAAGGGGGGGGGGGGGGGGGGGGGTAGGAATGACAGGGTGCGATATTGCGAAGCTGACCTTCGTTCCCCCCCTCCCCCTTGGAGTGGGATTCGGGGCCCGCAGAAGGGCCGCGGGAAATTTTGGTATTTTAAAAGGGCGAACAGTGCCATTTGGTGCGGTGTAAAACTATGATTCAGCTAGTCAGAATTCTTATTTCAAGAGGGGACCATTGGTGTGATTTTTTTTTTCAGAAATCGAAGGCGGCGGGGGATCAGGAGTCCCCTGAATCCGCCACTGTATGGCGTATATCAGAATTAGCAAAATGATGATTTTTTTTATTTGCATATTCAGTTGATTTTAAAATTAACGGCAAACTCCTGTTATAAAAGAATTACTTTCACATAAAGACAATATCAGTATGAAACCAAACTTTGTTGAAACCCATCATATGAACTCGCCACACCTTTAAAACCCTACATTAAGAAACTAGGTAATGCTTTTCATATGAAAAATGAGAATGCTTGTCTAGTACCTGCATGGAGAATGTTCGACACAACTTAACATTTAATTTTACAATGAGACTTTTCACACCCAAAATATATCCTGTGTTATCTCTCTGTTCAAATCCGATAATGGAAGGATATATTTGACACGTTTTTATCATTTTTAGCACTTGGTGTTTAATGAAAAAATTAGCTTTTTTCTTCAAAGATGCATATGAAGTCCATTGTTTGCCACAAAAGTCGACCAAATGCCGACATATAGTTTCAAATAGTATAACTAAGAGAATTACATTGTTTAATATTTCCCCAAAAATGATATTTGAACGGATTTTCCTGCTAGCTCTCTATGCTGCATATCTATGGGGCAGATAAATAAATTTACGACCAAAAATTTAAGGATAGGAGCAGTTTAAAGTTCTATTATGGTGGATAGAGTGATTTATTTAGCTTATCCCTTGACGTGTTGAGTTTATTTGAGTTGTATAAGAAACTAGTAGAAATGGTATATATGCGTCACTGGAAATCCAGGCTCCACCAACACTCTGTTCATATGTACCTTTAAGGGGGGAGGAAACGTCAAATACACAGTGTGGGTAATTTTTTAACATTAAAATAACATTATTTAAGTTGTTCTAGGGCTCTATTGTAAATTTATCCCATTTACAAATCTAATACCAAATAAATTTCATTGGAAAGATATTTAGATGGGAAAATCTTACTTTCTCAAATTCTGGGTCGGTTGTGCTTGACATAATTAACCGACTTTTTGTTCTGGTCTAAATGAAATGACGTTCTGTGTACTTTGCATATAAATCTCACAGAGTAGTTTTAATGTGGAGTAATGTCATGATTAATTGAACGTATTCACTTTTAAACTAGTACCTGAAACGAGTTTAGTGATAACTGCAACAGTTACTGTTATTTTCACATTTTTCTGTATTGGCCCTTTCAGGGAATTTGGTCATGTTCATGTTGAGTTTTTTCTCGTGTCGTTTAATTATGAGCGAATTGTTCTAACGCTATTTTTTGTTGCACATCAGGATTGAACAGAAACAAATTTAGGCATGAAGCTCATCATGAGAATGAGTCAAATGTTAGAGTAAAAATGTCCGCATCCATTTTAGACATAACTTACAAAATATGTTCCTTACCTTGTCTGCGACGTCTTGGCTTTCCGATTTGTGAATTAAGGGCTCCGCAAAAGTGAAGACACTTAAGCGTCCCGCAACGAAACAAACCAGTAAGCACACCAGCATACTTCGAGCCTTGAGCCTTTCTGATGACTTGCCCTTAATGAGCTAATACTGTATTTTATTGGAATATATAAGTCTATCTACAGATAGTCACGTGATTGGATGATGGTGAATTAATTACACTGAAAACGCATCTATACAGATCAACTAAAATGCATATATCATAGTTGGTCTTAATAGATGGGTTTTTGAGGTGATTTTTTTTTTACTTTTTATACACGGTCAACACATAATTATAATAAATCTTCATACAATGAAAGTGAATCGAGATACGCTGTACACGAAATGAAAATAGGCGAAAGGCATCCACACACACACACACACACACACACACACACACACACATATATATATTGTAAAACTAAAGGAATCTGTAATCGACGGATTCACCTCGACAATGTTATAAAAAGGCCCCTGTACGTGTTCTACAACTCTAACGGGTAATTCTGATTTTGTTCCTCTTTTGTTCTCAATGAAAGTAAATAGTACTTCTGACACATTTGTTTGTAGTAACTTAATAACGATTTACTGGAGATCGGTTTGTTTAGGTTTTTGTCCTTACCCACTAAGATAATGCAGAAATAAATTGAAGAAGAAGAGAAAGGGACACCACATTCAAAAGAGTACAAGTTCGCCACTTGTATTCAAAATTTTATTTAATTGTTTTGTGTGACAAAATATTAAAAAATCTCATAGAAGAAGCGTGCCATTTTTTTTACACAATAAATTGATTGCATTATTATGATTATTGTGGTTTACAATGAAAATCACTGTATACATTGCGTGTATCTCCCTAAATGCAAACCGAATAAATGCACGTTATCAACAATCTTCAGGCCCGTAGCCAAAAGGGGGGTTCTTTTTCTGAAAAAGTGGACCTTTTCCCATAAAAACTTCATGTACCTAGCTCAAATTTTACCCGAAGTGGACCTTTTCCCAGCAAAAGGGGCGGTTCTTTCGAACCCCCCGAACCCCCCCTGGCTACGGGCCTGATCTTTAACATGATATTGCAGTTTATAAAAAGTTCATTTTCACACAAGTTCACCCGTCCACACAACTAGTATTTAATGGATCTTCATTCCAACTTTTTAAAACAAGAGAGTTCGCTAGTTTGCACTGTCACACTGCAAACACAGTGAAGAACCTTGTACTGCAGTTAAATTGTGGACAAAACGTACCCTTGGAAAAGCCACCCTGTGACTTTTGGCCAGATAGAAGCAATTACATCTGCCCGCACGCAGATGGCATTGTACCCGCTCTGCAGGGAGCTACGAAGGAGATTCCTCAGTTAACTTCAATATGTGCAAACAAGCTATTCAGAAAGGGCTATTTTTATCTGTCACAAAAGAGGAAGTGATTTTAATCAGAGCAATTAACTGTCTTGATTGCTGTCAAAGGGACTTAGCCTGGGTCTGTTAAAAGGCAGTGTCAACATCTTTCAATATGATAAATTAGGCTCTATCTGACATTGATCTACAGTTTCATGCACCTTCAGTATGAGAGAAATTTAAGATATATGGAAAACAAAACCACTACATAATTTGAAATAATTCTCTTTTAAATGAAACAAAAAACAGACGTCATTTTTCTCTAAATAGTGGGCGGTTGTGACTCCATTAAGATTGAAAACAACGACGAGCTAAATGTACCGCGATTCTTCCACCATAACGAAATTGGCCCTTCTGCCATACGATACCCGAGCCGTTAGGTCCTTAAAGTTGAATCTTAACGCCTCACCGCAACCACATTGTAGGGGTACGGCATAAAGACCCCTGTGTTTATGCCTTCGATTCCATTGGGGTGTTTCTCGCCATTTGGCACCTTAAACACAAAGTTCTGCATCAACGTGGTGAAGAAAATGAAAGCTTCCATTTCGGCCAGCCCCTTGCCCAAGCAAACACGAGGTCCTGAAAATTGATGACAAAATGAAATGAATAAATAAATAAATAAATAAATAAATAAATAAATAAGTAATTGTCTCTCTCTCTATATATACAGACTTGACATTTAATATGGAATATTTTTTTCCAAAACATTTTTAACAAGTTTTTCCCTATTTTGCTGACTGATAAACGAAAACCAGGATTAAAATCGTGTTTTAATATATTTTAGTTATCTCTTTGATGTCATTGTGACATCAGTTCATTAATTGAATTCGCCAGAGAAGCAAACAAAAACACATTGCCTATTCTATGTCATACGACTACCATTAAAAACGATATTTTGGATCTCCATATTTTCCAAATTATTGTCTGTAAAAAGAGTAACATGCTCCACAAAGGACCCTCATGTCAGTGTCTAGTCACAGTGACGGTTGCTGTTACGCCTGACATCTTCTGGCTGCTACCAGAGCTCTCAAGTGGCAAGGCATTCTTTGGGATATGTTTGTAAAGTTCAATCTGGCATAACATTCCAGGCAACGGTCAAAATCTGTCCAATTTGGTCCAGTTTTGTTGTAGGACATGCAGGTCATTGTTTTGGCGAGTAATGGCCTACCCACATATTGTCTATGTGGTTCAAATATGGCGATTGTGATGACCAAGGTAACTGCTCATTCCCTTGGTTCCGTAAGTAATCTGCTTTTAAAAGTGCTCTGTGTGAACCGGCAATCTCATCGTGCAACTTAAAATTGTTCATAAGGTGCCCCCTATCAAATGATAGTCAAGTGGCTCCCAGATTATTCCTGTATTTGATCTGGTTCAGGTTTTCGTCGATGACTACCATTTGTGTTTTGGCACCAATGTGGTATCTACTCCAAATACTGACGCTGTTAATGACCTTAGTCACGTTAGACGTGGCACTGGCTTCGTCGTTGGCCTCTTCTGGATGTCTGTAAACTCTGTTTTGACTAGTTGAACGGTACAGGTGAAATCTGACCTCAATAAAGAAACCCACGAGGTTTCAGTGTTCAACCAAGAATCGACCAAGGTCCCCAATTCATTAGAGAAACATACAACGGATGTTTTGCTGTTTACAGTGGGTTCCTCGGAGGTCGTCTGGTATTCTAACCTGCTAAAACCAGTTTGGTGTTCGTTAAGAATCTTGAAAAATGCGTTTTGGTGGCAATTTACCCCTCATTCTGAACGGACTGGGTGGTTTTCGTTTAGTTGCAACAGCATACCCCGAAAGAAAGTGGGTCCTGTACCCTGGTGGTAAGATTTCAATACATTGGGTGTGGTCTCTGTGTAGGTACCTCAGTCTGGGCATTACTCTATAAAACTGTGCGGACCGTTTCGTTTAACGCAATTATCTGTCTGGCAATGTCTGTCTTTTTCGCGCCATTCTGTCACAGACTAACAAACTTGTAAAGCACTGCATAGCTCATTTTACACACTGCAAAACCGACCACTTGCAGGCAAAATTTCAAATTCTTCTATGCAGTAGTTACTGACGTACGGATACTTTTTCGGCAGAACCATGCTTGGCCAAAGCCAAGCTTTGACCTGCCCAAAGGAGCACTATCCAATTAAATCACTGCATATTACATAATGCAGCAGCGCAACAAACCTGGGATTCAGTTAATTGGTAGCGACACACCTGACTACACACTTCTCCATTCACATATTTTATATGAGATCGGAGTTTTTTTAAGAAAAAACGCATTTTTACCTAGGCATGCCTTCGAAACTGAAATATTCCATATTAAATGTCAAGTCTGTATATATATGTGTGTGTGTGTGTGTGTGTGTATGTGTGTGTGTGCGTGCGTGTGCTACAAATAATTTTTTTTTATCAATACAGCTAACTTAATTACTTACAAAATTAAACCACTCATAATTCAAAAATACTTACTATCGTAACTTGGCTACATGTACCTCTCGTAGGATTCCTGTCTGCATATAATTAAAATATAATTATAATATAATTATTGTCATCTCACCTGTGGAGAATGGTATGTATGCGCCAGACTTGGTCACCTTCCCAGAACTATCCAGCCACCTTTCTGGTTTGAACTGGTACGGGTCCTCGAAGTTACATTTATCGTGTAATATCCGATACTGATCTGCTATCACTATCGTTCCCTTGGGAATGGTGTATCCACCCACCTCCACCGACTCGCTGGTTGCATGTGCGACGCCAAAAGGGGCTTAAGATTAAGTATCAAAAATTAATCAAGCAATTCACTTTGTTCTGTGTGAAACAAGCCTCAAACTCGGGCCTAATAGAATCTGCGACGGGAATGATGAAAATAAACGATTAAATGTTCAGTACGCTTGGTTGCCCAGGAGGCAATGAGAATACTTTCATGGGTTAAGGGTGTTTTTTTTTTAGTTTGGAAATCAATAGCTCCATGGCTTTTACATGAAGGTTTTTCAAAATGCAACAGTACAGGTATATGCGAATATCTTGCTTTTCACACCCAAATTCTGTAAACTGTGTCTTAAATATGCGTCACTTTTGATCATCAACTTAGTATGAATGGAAAATATTTTATCTTATTATATGATAACCTTATACGATGAACAGATATTAGAACTCACCGACGGGCGACATTCGAAAAACCTCCAAGATGGTTGCTTCAGTGTAGGGCATCCTGATCTTGTCCTCCATCTTGACAACTCGACCTTGACCTATGACCTTAAAATGAAAATGTTTTGTAATTATAATGGGCTCTGGGATAGGATGAGGTGCATATATCTAACGATTGCAGTTTATCCTGTCCTTTCTTCCAATCCACTGGGCATGTTCCGATAGGCTACCGTGTAGGCATATATAGACATTGTCCAACGTCACCCTGTTCCATCTGTGTTATGACCTATTGTATTAGTTGTGTACATATAAAAATGCTGATTGTTTGAGCATTTTCATATTTTTAAGGATTATGATTTAATTTGACCCCAAATGAAGAATGTGCAGTGAGTGAATATTTCTTGTATTTTGATAATTAAAATTATTATTCTCCTTTACTATCCAATATATTCTTTTCGGAAATTACTAGATCTCTTCAATTTAAGGCACAGGCAGGCCTAAGCCTTAGGTTAATATAATTTTCAAATTCTGTTACTGTTTATTGCTAGCACCAACGTTTTGTAGAGAAACGTCCGTGGTACAGTGTGACAACAATTCTCGAGAAGACTGTTTGAGATAAAGTGAATGTAGAAATCAATAATGGTGAGTAATAATGGTACTAGGCCTATACAGTGGCGGATATAGAGGGGGTCAGGGGGGTCCTGACCTCCCCTTCGATTTCTGGTCCCCTCTTGAAATTAGAATTTTGAATAGCTGAATCACGGTTCTAAACCTTTTTTATTTATTTAGTTTTTATTTTTATTTATTTATTTATTTATTTATTTATTTATTTTTATTATTTTTTTTTTGCTCCAAAGCTTCATTAATACAATTGCATGTCTCCTTTTAAAAACTGATCTCCAAGCGGCATCAGAGGAAGACGGAGACGCGAACGCTCAGGATAAACTTGTGTGGAAATTGCAACATCAGAGAGTGGACAGGAGCAACGACCAGAAATTGTGCAGACACATCACGTGACCGAAGGGCTTTGGGTTTCATCGTCGTCAACAGTTGGACCAAGCACGAGACCCTATCGAACAGGGCCGCAGATTGATTCAACACTTAATATTCACAAATATTTGTCTAGGCAATTGTGTGCCCTTTTTTGTGCTGATACTACTGATACTACTGTGACTAAAGTTTAGTTTTAGGGTAATTCATATTGCAGTAGTTTCAAAACCAATCCAATTTAGAGACGTTGCTGTAGTTGTGAGCATTTTGATACCCCTTTCAGCTCTTCACCTCATTGTTATTTTCAAATCCAGTATTAAGAATAGTGAGCCGTTTGCGTAGTAAACCGTATGTACATGTAAAACCCCCGGAGGGAAGGCTTAGTTCCCCAACCCTGTTCAATACACCGGATGGGGACACTAAAGACCAAGCAATTCAAATAATTAATCAGAATGTATTCACTCTGTAACTGAACGTGTTCGTCAAAATTTCCTAGATAAAACTTTACCAAGCGAAACAGTGCGTCAGACGAGTCATGTCCTCGTCTAGCACGCTTAGACTGGGTTCCCACAGATTTAGATCGATCCATCTGGATCGGCCTAACTCCCTGGGGGTTTACGCTATATTGCTGTCAGCTTCCGGGAGCCGAGCGCGCACAAAAGTTATTACCCCCTTAAAGCTTTTAGTAAGCGGGACAGACATTTTAGCCGGTTAAGCTGACAGCAATCTTGTGAGACTCCCCAGGGGGATAGATCGATTTAAATATCTGTGGGAATGGTCTCTATTAAACGCTATCAAATTCCACACGAACATTTTATTTAAAATTAATTGGAGCTAAGCGCTATTTTATGGCAATAGTAATTCTTTCAAGTGGTTTTGTAATATGTATTCAGTGTCTAGCAGACGACATAATAGTTAAGGGGTAGAATAGCCGATTATACTGCCTCTTAAAATAATGTGATTATTCTTGATTTAACACCGTGACAGACATCGCAGTATATTGCACCACACAATTTTATTGCTTGACATTAAGCTTGACATAAAGCTAGGCGTATACCAACACGCGTTTGACTAAGCATTGTGCGCATTGCTGTGTCAGTAAGATGGCGGGTAAAATTGCTCATTTAGCTGTCTGTTTCTACATTTTGGTGACAACACAGCCGGTTCTGTGTTTGGATACGCATATAGTGAGAACAAACCTAGGGGAGATTGTTGGAGAAAGAGTTACTGTAAATATTGGCGCCGGTAAGTAGATAACGTCTTCGTCACCACAAAACGTTGGCATAAACCGTATTTCATATATGCGGTGTCTTTGAAGTTTGTCTAAAGGTGTCGATTGAAAAATAATGGGATTTCTGTGTCAATAAGCGAAGAATACTAAAGTTAACATTATTATGGATGAATTAATGTCAGTAATGAAAACAGATCGCTGATCTTACCGTAGAACTTTGAAAGGCGCCTATTTCAAGGCATTCCTTGAATATAATCACCACTCCCCTAGTTGCGCGTTTTCGTCATGTAGGCCTAAATGCATCTGTCTGTTTGGAGTGGGAAAGCCTGTGTGTACATGCACATGTCCGCGTGTTCAGTTAGAACGCTCACGCGCAATCTAGAGTATTGGATAATGGGGTTGTAGAGATCTAGAACACTTCTACACACACACACACACACACACACACACACATACAAACACACACACACACACACATACACACACACACACACACACACACATGTGCCGATAACTAGTTTTAACATTGGGAGTGAGAATACTGTATATTGTGTTAAATGTGACCCGTATATTATGTTAAATATGGCACGCATATTGTGATTAACAATGCACCATACAGGGATGAAGCTCTGATATGTACTAATCGGGTCATTGTTGAAACATCTCCTTCTAACCATTAAGTTGCCTTGGTCATTTTTAAGCATAAGTTAATTTTTTTCAATATTTCAATCACCGAACTCTCCATTTATGTTATAGTGGATAATACAGTTGTGTTTTAGTTCACTAAACCATCATTTCCTTCTTAGTGCATGTACAATCAGTATTTAGTTGCAAAATACATATTTATATTATTATGGCTTAAATATATCACCGATTCACTTTTATCTTTCAAATCCAGTCCCAGGAATAGTGGACCGCTTTCGTGGTATACCGTACGCAAAACCGCCTGTGGGAAGACTGAGATTCGCCAATCCCGAGCCACATCCCGGATGGGGAGATACAGTACTACTGGCCCAACAATTCGGTCCCCACTGCCCGCAGAGTGATAGCGATATATCCCTCTTTGCCAACCTAGGACGAACAATCACCAACATCACACGTGACGAAGATTGTTTGTTTTTGAACGTGTACGTGCCACGCGGGGTTGATGTTCTACGTGCGACGGGCGTTCGTCTGGCGGTTTTGATTCACTTTCACGGCGGGGCTTTTAAAACAGGCTCAGGTGCGTCTTTTAATGGGGATATCCTTGCGCTGGAGTCCGATGTCATCGTCGTCACTATAAACTACAGATTGGGTTTTCTGGGGTTCTTCAGCACGGGGACTGACGAGGCAAGAGGAAATTACGGTCTGTATGACCAGCACTGGGCTATTAAATGGGTACGAGAGAACGCTGAGGCATTTGGCGGAGACCCTGATCGCATCACTTTAATTGGTGATTCTGCAGGAGGAGCGTCGGTAGATTTTCAGATGATCTCTCCCCTAAACCGTGGTTTGATCCAGGGAGGGATATCTGCCGAAGGGTCGAGCTTGGCTCCGTGGTCTCTGACCGAGTCTCTCAACGTCAGTCTTGAGTTTTCTAAAATGGCCGGTTGTGATATGGATGAACCTTCGGCAAGACTCCGCTGCCTCCGCAGTAAGGATGCCCAGGAATTGGTAGAGATAAAAGAGAAAAGGTTGCGTGGTGTACTCAATTGGCGACCAGGTATTGACGGGGTTTTGATCCCAGTGCATCCGCGAGATCTCTTGAGAAAAAACGTGACATCCGGGCTTCGATATATGACTGGCTTTTCCTCCCACAGCGCCAGCATCTTTGCACTTCCAGTGGCTGGGGATCCCCCTACCGTTGCCCAGCAACGCATCAATCTTGAAACGTTTGCATCACTCGCCTATCACCTCAAAACGAAAAGCGCCAGGGTCGCCTTTGCCAGGTCGATGCTTCATGAATACGGCCTCCTCCAAGACCCCATGGAGCCATTGGAAATCTTGACACGTCTGGTACAACAGAACACCGACTTTCTCTTTGGAATGCCTGCAGAGGAGTCGGCGAGACTGAACGCAGCGGGAGGTGCCACAGCGTACAAATACACATTGTCGGTCCGTCTTGGCCATCCACCTTCTTACCTTCCCAAGGCGCCTTTTGTACGAGCTGATCACTTTGACACTCGCATTCTGTATTTTGGTGTTTTTGAAGAGCACCCGGAGCTTTATAATTTGACGGCTGAGGAAATGGAACTTGGAAGAAGTATAAGACGATATATAGCTAACTTCGCAAAATATGGGTAAGGGCTTATCAATATGCGTAATTAAAGCATGTATGATACATGCAATTGTTAATGAAAACACGGTGTATATAAAGTTTCAATGGCCATAATGTCGATGAATTTTCATTAATCCAAACTTCCTGTCTTGAAAAGGGCTCATCACAAGCATGACGTCAGGATGTCGTTTTTATGTCGTACTGACGTCGAAATAACGTCATAAACATATAATTTCATTCTTTTCTGTTTTCTAAGCATTCAACACTCTCGTCCTTTCAGTGACCCAAACATCGGTGACCCGGTCAGTGTCCAGTGGCCAGAATACACAGCGTCCTCCGGACAATTTATCAACCTAGACACTCCAACTACCGTAAAAACATTCGATAGGGAGCGCCAGTATCTTTTTGTCACCGAGGTCATTCCTGCAATAGTGAAGCTTGGTCTAGAGGCTGACGCGATGGCCACACGCTCTGGACAATTCCAACCATGCCTTGGAATTGATTGGAGAGCGTATCAAACGCCCTCTTTCCTCAGGTATCAGTATTTAATGAGGCTGATGAGATATGCTTAGAAAATCCCAATGAAAAGGATATCTCCGAAGATTCCTTTGGGTGTACGAGGTTTAGCACGGGCATAAACGGGAATAGATATGACCTCCTCCAGATATTTGCATTTTTTTAATTTCCAAAGTACAAGTATGTTCAATACTTTACTGTGCGATTAAAGATCTAATTAGTTGAATCGTAAAAGTAGTTCAACGCTATTTTTCTCTGTATTTGTTATGATAAAAACATCGCTTACCTCATTGATTTCCTGTTGTACTTTCTTCTGAACATGTGGCTCATTCACCATATGGACAAGGGACCATCTCAAAGTATTGGCCGTTGTGTCGGTGCCGGCCATGTACAGATCGGCGATTGTGCGAAAAAAGTTCTTCTCTAAAATTTGATTTGAGTAGTAATTGTGAATTAAAATGCCAGAGAAAATCTGATTAAAAGGATAGAGAGCACAAATGGGTGTAACACTAATACTATTTCGATATAATATAAATGTGAAAATACTTATTGAAAAAACTCAGGAGAATATTTTCAGACAAAAATAATTGGGATAAATTTAGATTTATAAAACCGAAAAGCCAATTATGCAAAATCGGCTTTGCAACACTGTTCTTATATTTTTTCACACTATTAAGAATACTTATTGACCCATTATAATTGAGAACAAACACTTCACATTGTTACACAAGGGGCTTAGTTAAAAGAGTGATGGATGTTCCGTAAAACGCAACTTAGTGGTCAAAGGGTAGAACTTAACCCCTAAACTGACGATACGCATTGTGTGATATTAAACATGCTTCCTGTCGAATAGCGGTCGAGTTTTATAAAAATGAAACGATTGCAACATTACCTGGGCCAGTAGCATTCTTTTTATTAGGGTCCATTCAGAAAAGATGATCCGAGTACTAACCGCCGTGGTGGCAGGAAGACCAACGGGAATCAGCGGCATAGGCCTATAGCTTTTGAAGTGTGACTGGCCATATATAGTCGGCGGATCAGTTAGTACTCGGATCGTCTTTTCTGAAAGACCCCGTAATCATACCAGTGAAGACCTCAGGATCCTGTCCCTCTTGGGTGACCTTTATAAAGAGGTCAATGAAGTCCCGGATGTCATTTGGATCAAAGGTCTGGCGGTGTCGTTCCAGTTCTTGTGCAATCAATTCACGTAGACGATCTACGAGGGCAAATATTTTCTTTGTCTAAAACAAAATTGAAAATGTATGCCTATTTATCTACCTTAACAAGATACTAAACCCTACTCCGAATGACCGGTTCATTACAATAGGATAAAATCTGATACAAAATGCGATTGTTCTATCGGGATAGAAGTTAAATTCATTTTACGTCAATTCCAAGGCCAGTACGTGTATTGGCATGCATGTACCTAGAGAGATTTAAGCAGTACAGTATTTCAGTTATTTATTATAGATAAAGCAATTCACAAAAAATTATTTCAATTTAATTATATATTACCGGCGTAAAAACGCGTCCAAAGTCTGTGAAGATTAGAATTCCGGTAAGTAACCGCAAGGTCTGATCCACATTCGTCAACATTTCTGAAGGTTCGTCATAATTCCACCTGTAAATAGACAGAGTCAATATGACACATTGTCCCTTAACGCCCACATTGAGCTTCATAGTTTATGCATTTATTTTTACGAAAAGACTATCATTTACAACTAGCATTCTTCTTCACGTACTGGTACTACATGTACATGTACATGCCATTCGTAAGGACTATTGATATTGAAAGACACAATGTAGTTTCTAGTACTGGTAATCGTTGAAACTCGGGGTTGAAACGGTAGGAGCTTGCCAAGGCATGGAATTGAGATACCAGAAACATATAAGTATGAAACTTAATGTACCAGCACTCTCTTCTAAGGTAAATTTCTGGTCCCTTAGTTTAGATTGATCAAGACTTTGTAAAAAAGAAAAAAAACTACCTCGTGCCAAAAACAACTATAGAAATGATGTTGCTGACAGCCTTTCCAATTCTGTCCCTGGGAGAGAAAGGATTTCCATTTTCATCTTCCATACTTTGCACCAAGTATCTAGCCTCGTCTTGAATCCTTTCTTGCAAACTATGTTTGCCCACTCCGAGATCTCGAAAAGACGAGAGTGTGAAACGCCTGAGTTCTTTCCATGCATGGCCAGAATTCATTATAACTCCAGCTCCTGTAACGAAAATAAATATGCTAATTAATATAAGTAACATTTTGAGTTTGAATTATTCGGAAATTATATTTATAAAACATTTATATACCGGTATAAACATTAAATTAAGGATTTTTTTTTACTAAATAACTTTACTCAGTGACAGCATAAATGCACATATAACATTACATTCTTCAAGATTTGAGTGAAACTGTAACTGCACGCTTACAGTACTGTGATCTACCATTCAGTTCCAGCATGTTAGTATTCAATGATAAATAAATAATACAGATTAATGAATGAATAAACGTGTCCTCATATACAGACACGGAAGGTAAGCTCTTCCTTTTTTTGACACTGTGAATTGCCCGGTGCAGGGAGTTATATATATATATATATATATATATATATATATATATATATATATATATATATATAACACCTTGCTCAGTGCTAGTACATGTACACTTCACCTCTCTAACTTAAAGTTTCAGAGGTCATTCGTATATATATATATATTTTTATTAGCTTAAGTCTTTTCAGTACCCAGAGGTTCTTACACACGTACAATGCGTGACCTCTGCAACTTTTTTCACAATGCACTTTTGGGACGTGCGATAGATGACCTATTTAGAGGGTATTCAGAACAAGTTGATCTGCTCTATTACAGATCCGGTGATCAAATATGGCCGACTCACTTAAAAAACTTGTCGCATTATCCCCCTAATAGACACTGAATAGATTCCCCCCAGGGATTAAGCGGTTAGCTTTCAAGTAGGTCGGCCATATTTGATTCGCGGATCTGCCAGCTCGCGGATCAACTTTGGCCGCGAATGCAGCCATTGTGAGTATACTTACCGTCCTTTCCCACAAGACGATCGAAGATATAAACCCAAAGCGGCCTTTCACTCACTGAACTCGCCTTCTTCACGAAGGCCTCTTGTTGAAGCTCTTTAGTCCCCAGTATCACCATGTGCTGTTCGCCAATTTTGATGTGCATGATATCTCCGTATGTATCATACCACGGAAGAAGATCTGTCGGTTGTCGTCTCCTACCGCTGATTATCAGCTGTGGGAGACAGCCCACCATGGGAAAACAGAAAGGCCCGGGCGGCCAGTTCACCCGAGGCGTCCGAGGCGTTAACGCCCACAGACTCAGCAACAATACTGCCACGAAGACCAGAACAGTGGCTGGACCAAGCGATGACAAAAGATCGCCCAGGAAAACTACGATATTTGCCATGTTGGTCGCAGTTTTTTAAGGCCTACTTACAGAACGCTACCACAATCTTGCTGCACTATGGACGGTGACGATAACACAAAATACTCAATGTAGACGCGTTCTTTTGTATTAAGTACATGTGTACTGGGCACAATATGCCCTCTTTCGCTTAACTGGAAAAACGCAATAGACCGAACAATGTAATCAATAACACAGCGAATAATACAGCAGTTGGTACATTATATTTGCTCTATTGCAACCTGGATAGTTGATGGAATACTATACGCGTTTGCATGCCCCATTTATTAGAGTCATATTTTCTGTTTCTCCATGTACTGCAAAGAATTAGCTTACCTTTCTCAAGACCTCCAACCTAAAAACGATAATACCCTTCAAATAAAAATACCCAACGATGTTGAAATTAAATAAATTCTCTTTTATATTTAGGGCAATTTTATGTTTTTTGTTTTATTTATTTATTTATTTCATTTTTTATTTTTTGCGTTTTTATGTATTTATCCATCTTTTAAGGGTTTTGTATCAACAAGCAAACCAATTAATAAATAAATTGACTTTCGCCTCCCGTGTTTGCGCTCCCAGTGTACTGGTATGGTTGCATGCAGCAAGTCCCGCGTGTCATACACAGTGGAGAGCCAGTCAGGTCCATTTGTCTTTGCCTGGTATTGTAATTAGTAAGTCCATGGAGGTCACCATAGATTTTTTCTACGGTATATGAACCACCGAGGAAACACCCAGGGTCATCTTGAACATATTCACTCAACCTAGGGCCCTCTCCTCTTTAATTGATACAGTCCACGATTAACAGCCATGTAGGATTGCGCGCTCGGCTATATGGAAACGAAAGTCTACACTTGAGTCTGTGGTCCACGCTAGAAATTTTAAGTTCTCTCCATCTTGTTCAGTGCGCATGGGGGGGAATGGAAATACCTTCTGTGGTGCCTATTAGGCATGCGGTCATCACACTGGGGGGGGGGGGTGCTCTTGACTGTTGTCACACCACATCTGTAGTAGAAGGAAAACTCTGATGCAACTGCAAAGCAGACAGGCAACCCTTGTTTGCACCCTGTCGTGCATGGAGACATGGAAACAAGGAGCTAGGCATTAAACTAAATAGCAAAAGATTAATCAGAGTATAAAGGAATTGGTGAGGATAAACCACTACAAAATACGCAAATAAGGTAAATAAGCACATGTTTCTCAAGACTGGAAAAATAAAGCGGAACAAAAGTGTTGAGAAAAAGTTTTTTGTGGTAAACTTTGGTACTGTGTATTGCACTAAGCAGACTGCACTAAAAATTCTGTGGGTGCTTTTTAATAAGTCGACACAAATTCAATTAAAAGTACCCCTATAATACGGTTGCTCTGCCGTGCCCGTACGGGGCACCGGTAGTATTAATTAGGTCGAGTTTATATTATCGAAGGAAAGAGAAACATTCAAACGGGTGTTTTGGGGAAGATGTGGTCATCGGTCTTTCTACAACAAAGAATTTTGTAGTTTGAGCAATAAAAGAAGCCTTCAGATGAATGCTTTCTGGGGTAACGGTTCAAGACTGTTTTATAGTATGTACCCGTCTTCCCTTGTGTGCCCCCTCCTGAGTTAAACAGATTTATATAATATTAAGTAAACGGTTCTCTCTTGAACATCGTGAGCAGCAGCATCGGACGTTCTTCGCCAACGTGGAACCTGATACAATATGTTGAGGTAGGGTGTTATATTTATCTTAGTTCCAAACCTTCATTCATAAAAAAATATAGAATCAAATCCAAGATATAGTCAGACACCAGGCCGTGAACTTGACTCCGCCCCTCAACTGAAACATCCAAAAACCGAGATTGCTCAAAGTAAAACCAGATTGTATCCACAAGAACGTTCATCTCGCCATGTAGTAGGCCTACTGCTTGGAAAGATCAGCAATAGGAACCTGTAATAATATATTTGTATAATGTTTAGAATGTAGCAATAGACAGAGCGTTTGTCCAGGGAATTGCAATAAATTCCTGATATTTTAATGGAGAGATTTAAATGTTGATCATTTGTTATCTTACAGATGGAACATGGAAAAAATTCGTTTCCAGCGCAGGCTGGGTGATTGAGGTCTTAAATACCATTCTGGTTTATGGTTCTGGGTATTCGGGTATAGTTGACTATCGTTTAACTATCGTTTAGCAGCTTAAGCAGGCGTGGCAGACATTTAAGCCACTAAAGCTGAAAGCAATTAAGCAAGAAACCCTGTGGAGATGGACCAATTCTGTTGGATCGATCCAGGAATGGAAACCCAGTAACATGTGCTATTGGTGCACATTTTTGTCTTGTTCTGAAATAAATAAAAAATGACTCACTTTGTTTTCTGAAATGCATACCAGTATGTTGAAATGCATACCAGTATGTTGTAAAAATACCAACTCTCATTTTCTACCTTACTTGCAATTATCATAACTGACCACCCGGCATGGAATGTTACAAATGCAACTGAACATTCTGTATACTGAATAGGTGTGGAAGGTAACCAGTATTTCATGATCAGGTACACATCACAGAGACAGGAATGGTATAAGAAAATTGGTCAGATATAGTTACCGTAAAAGACTTTTAATCACAAGTACTAGAGCTGTATTACAGTAATAAACCATGGTGTCCTGTAAACTACACACAAAACTTACTTTTTAATATGTCCCCCGACCGTTGATGATACGGTCTATACGGTGATGCCGTGAAGCCAGTGACGGTCGGGTGTGAGTTGTCTACAGTTGGTCCCTTTCTTCCAACAAAATACTACGACCTGATCTGTACTTTAACTGCAATGCACCCTACGAAACAACATAAGCAATTCGCCATTGCGTTGACTTTATCTTAAATTACATGACAACGCCAAATTTTACTCAATGTAGTCCTATAACATAGACTCGTGCCCGACCGCGAGAGGAGTTGCTATGGCAGATTTTAACCCAACCTTTCGTTAAATCTCGCTCTTATATATCTAGGTCTCGTTTGACGTCATCTGCTGCGCAGATATTCAAAATAGGCTATCTCGAGCAGCCCGTATCATTAAAATGTTACGCTGACGGTACTTTAAGCACAATCCCCAGATTTTGAGAAGCAGCATCGGACGAGCTTCACCAACGTAAAACCTGATACAAGATGTCGAGGTAGGTCGTTATATTTACCTTCGTTCCGAACCTTTAACCGTGGAATTGTAGCAATTTCAGTGTGATAACTTTAAGCGGCATTTTGATGTAGACGGTAAGGTAGACGAATCAGATAAATGCTCATGGCCCGGATGGAATATATGTCAATCTACATACAAAAATAAATGAATAAATAAATAAATAAGTAAATAAAAAATGTAAAACACGTCGCAAGTTTTTGAGCATTCAGATTATAATCAACGTTGATATGGTTTTCTCAACATCTTCAGTTCCTGAAAATAGATTGAAAATGAAAGGTTGAAAATTAAAATTAACCTGTGATAAGTTTACAATTTTAAGGTAATCTGTTGATTGCATAAATGCTGCCGTTGTAGAACAAAGCCATTTGATAGGTTGGCCTGTGTTATATGCTTGCAATAATCAGTCTTTCTCGTCAAAATGAAGCATCGGTGTCCGGTATTGGTGTTCGGAACCGCACAATAAATAAAAAGTATAAACAGGCTTGAAATACGGACACCGTTATATAAGATATATCGGATAACGCATTAATACTGCTTTCCAGGGCCCGGTTGCACCAACCGGTCGTAAGTGAGGCGTAGCATTTGCGCCGGGTACACCGGGCGCAAAATTCTACGCCCGAGAAAAGCCAGTTGCACCAAACTGGAGTAGTGTTTACGTCGGTCTTAACTTAGTCGTAAATTTACGCCTGCTAGTTAGGTGGAGTAAGTCGGTCGTAGCTCGTTTTCCACTATGGCTAGGTTGGCACAGAGAGAGTTTGATGACAATTATCGTAGTTAACGTAGATTATGTGGGTTGTTTTTTGTTTGTTTCTTACACAAAACTTCCGTCTGTATAGCTTGGTTTTTAAAAAACTAATTTTATACACTTATATATATATATATATATATATATATATATATATATATATATAAATGATTATTAAATACATTATGTGTGTAGCCACGTACATGTACATGCATGTGTTCAAATTAAATCTTACCACTCATGTCGACACGCCTTGGCTCTCAGCAGTACGGTTTCTTTAATTCTTTTCACAATTTTTGACAAACCATAACTAGCCATAGTCATTTTTTATTCAAATTTTATTTCATTCATACTTTACTATATATAAACATAGAGACGAAAGCTTAAAATATCAACATTTTAAGGCTCATACAATATGTATTAGGTCTCTTGTATTTCTCAATCTCCAAGATGTAAGCTCGATTGAATTAAATGATACCTCACGGTGTAACCATAGATAAAAAAGGTCATGAAATTGAAGTAAATTTTTTAAAAAGAAAGCAATGCTGGCTTTTTTGGATTATTTTCAGACTCAAATGTTCCAATAACAAATGTGAAAGTGTTCAAATCCATTAATAGAAATACGTACTGCCTCCAACGCGTTTTTCTCATTTACAACAGCATACTATAATAGCATACGATAGCATACTATAATAATATTTTGATTCGGAATATATTTACGATTTTATTGCTATATATCCAAGGCAACAGCAAAGTTAACGTATTTTGACGTTCTTATTTCTAAATCAAAATGGAATAATGTAGCTCATGAATTTCTCCGTCACTGAAATGCTCCTTTTGTGTTTATTTATGTCATCATTCCATTATGACTGCAGCTGAGAATTCCTCATTTGCCCAATTATACCATCCACGTGTTGTTGGCCAGAGGCGCAACGGAGCGTTACTCGGGCGTAGTTACGACGATCAGTTTTTGTCTTGGTGCAACGGGCGTAAGCAGGGAGAGTAAACCTGGCGCACGGACGCCAGGCGTTGCGGTTTACGACAGTCGTAGCCGAGTAAATTTACGCCCTGTTGTTGCAACCGGGCCCAGATTCGCGGTCAAAACATCAACGTGTAAATCGCTATGAGGAAATCCAACGCTGACAACAATAACCAGTTTCAATCATTTAATATTCACT